GCCTCCCGAGTGCTGGGATTAAAGGCGTGTACCACCAAAGCCCGGCTAGCACATGCTCTTAATTCTGCCTTCAATCTATGTTTTTGAAACGGTGGCCAAGGGGAACATAAAACACAGATGCATATGACCATGTAGTGTTCTCACACAGCCACGGAGGGTCAGCCCCAGCTCTGAGAAGAGAAGAGCGCCTTTGGAAGGATCAGGAAGGGTTTGTGGAAGTTACGTTCAGAGGGAGCCGGTCCAGCTGCCCTTGAGGACGTGGGCAGGTTTTGGGAGGTGGAATCTGGGGCTGGAGAGTGTCTCCAGTCCCAGTACCTTTCTTGCAGGTCTACATTATTGGCCACGTGCCCCCAGGGTTCTTTGAGAAGACACAGGACAAGGCCTGGTTCCGAGAGCGCTTCAATGAGGAGTACTTGAAGGTGGTCCAGAAACACCATCGTGCCATAGCCGGGCAGTTCTTTGGGCACCACCATACTGACAGCTTCCGAATGTTCTATGACAATACAGGTATTCCGTCTTGAGGGAACTGACAACCTGAAACTTTCTTTCCTCTTCCCATAGTCCCTTTCAGCCTGTTGTCTTTTCCCCTAAAGGTGCCCCCATAAGCGTCATGTTCCTCACACCGGGGGTCACCCCATGGAAGACCACATTGCCTGGAGTGGTCAATGGAGCCAACAATCCAGGAATCCGTGTCTTCGAGTATGATCGAGTCACACTGAACCTGCAGGTTAGGAGCGTGGGTCGGCTGGGGCCAGGGTGGGACCCTAACCATCACCGCCTTCCCTAGCCCTCAGCTAACCTGCTTGCTACTCCGCACTGAGCCTAGGGAGGGAATGCTGGTTAGAATCTTGGAGCCACCTACCACGTGGTCAGGTCAAGTCTTCCTCAAGTCTTTGTTCTGGATCACTGTCACCTGCTGCCACACCCAGGAGGGATTGATCTTCCTTGCCTCTCCTTAGGCTGGTGTGGAAGACTCCCGACAGTCTGAGCTCAAGTCCATTGCCCCTTCCCACACACCAACTGGGACCCAGCCCCTTCTTCACCACCTAAGGTGTGCTGGTATTGTTGAAATGACAAAGGCTACTTCCTTCACTCATCAGAATGTGCTAAGCACCTCCACGGGGCCAGGCCCTGTTCAAAGCTCTGGAGATGGCCAGGCGGTGGTGGCACACGCCTTCAATCCCAGCACTCGGGAGGCAGAGGCAGGCAGATCTCTGTGAGTTCAAGGCCAGGCTGGTCTACAAAGTGAGTTCCAGGACAGCCTCCAAAACAATACAGAGAAACCTTGTCTCGAAAAACAAAAAACAAAACAAAACAAAACAAAGCTCTGGAGATGCAGACACAAACAACAGAGACTCTTCTCCTTTGCCAGAATCCCTACAGGAAGACAACAGTAAAGAAATAAATGAAACTAAACATGGCCCACAGAAAAGGGAGGGCGATGCAGCACTGTACTCCCAGCCACTTGGGAGGCTAAGGCACAGGACTGAAATTTAAAGCCAGCTCGGACTATGCTGAGCTCAAGATGAGACAGTAGCATAGTAAGAAGACCCTGTCTCAAAAGGGGCGTGGGGGGCGTGGCTACAGCTCAGCGGCAAAGTGCTTGTTTAACATGGAGGAGATGCTAGGCTTGATTTCCAACACTGAAGAAAGAAAGGGTGGGAGGGAGGCAGTGAGATGGGAGGGAAGGCCTAGGGGCTGATGAGTTTCCAGTGTGTGGGCTGTGACACATAGATGGGACATGGGGAGTGTCACATAGATGGGACATGGGAAGTGTCGCCAGCAAGGAGGCTGTGTAAACTGAGCCCGCTAGGTTTATAAAGAAGGTAGAGGGAACAGCAAGGCAAATGCCCTGGGGTGGGGAGGGGCGTGGTGGTTTTGGGAAAGAGCAGGGAGAGTGGGTGACCTCAGAGAGCAAGGGGAAACTGGGAAGCACCCGCCAGATCGAGGTTGTGGAGACAACTCTGGACTTGAGAGCTGGGAACAGAAGTGTGAGCTGTTCTGATTCACGGTTTCTGCTGTGATCAAGGCACAGGCACAGGAAGGAAGTAAAAACACAGCTGCCAGAGGAGGGTGGTGGCAGCCCAGGGTGCTGGGAAGTATCTGATCCTATAGGCATTTCAGAGGCGAGGAGCCAGGGTTTGCTGACAGATGCTTGGTGCAACCTTCTTCTTCTTCTTCTTCTTCTTCTTCTTCTTCTTCTTCTTCTTCTTCTTCTTCTTCTTCTTCTGTTTGTTTTTTCGAGACAGGGTTTCTCTGTATTGTTTTGGAGGCTGTCCTGGAACTCGCTCTGTAGACCAGGCTAGCCTTGAACTCATAGAGATCCACCTGCCTCAGCCTCCTGGGTGCTGGGATTAAAGGCGTGCACCACCAATGCCTGGCTTTTTCTTCTTCTTTTTATAATGGTTACTTATGCATGTGAATTGGCATTTTGTGTGCATGTGTATCTGTGAGGGCGTGGGATCACCTAGAACTGGAGTTACAGACAGCTGTGAGCTGTCACGTGGGTGCTGGGGAATTGAACCCCTGTCCTCTGGAGGAGCCACCTGTGCTGAGCCATCTCTCCTACCCTGATACAACATTTCTGCCTCAATCTCTTCCTGAGTGCTGCGATTACAGCTGTGAGTGTCCATACCCTGTTCAGTGTGTGTGTGTGTGTGTGTGAGTGTGTGTGTGTGAGTGTGTGTGTGAGTGCGTGTGTGTGTGAGTGTGTGTGAGTGCGTGTGTGTGAGTGTGTGTGTGAGTGTGTGTGAGTGCGTGTATGTGAGTGTGTGTGTGAGTGTGTGTGAGTGCGTGTGTGTGTGTGAGTGCGTGTGTGTGTGTGTGTGTGTGTGTGAGTGCGTGTGCGCATGTGAGCACAGGGATACAAACTCAGTTTCTCATAGTTGTACAGAAAGTGCCCTTGGGAACTGGAGGGATGATGGCTCAGTGCTTTTGTAGAACACTTAGGTTTGGTTCTCAGCACCCACATCAGGCAGCTCACAACTGCCTGCGCCTCCAGTTCCAGAGATTCTGACAACTTCCTCTGGCCTCTGTAGATACCTGCATGCATGTGCACACACTCTGCCTCACAAAATTAAAAATAAGATAAAAATTTAAAAAGTGCTCTTAAGCACTAAGCCATCTCCTCTGATCAGGTCTGAAGATTGAAAAAAACATTTGTGTGTGTGTGTCCTGCCAAAGTTGGTTCTTGCTTTCCTCCATGTGAATTCTGGGGATCCATTTTGCTGGCCCTAGGCCTGAGGACTTTTAAGAGCATGTTCTGTTGTCTGCATGACCACTTCCTTGCTTCCTCTATACAGTGGCAGTCACAGCAGAGAGGACGAAATAATGCCACACACTCACTGAAGCTCCTCATACCTGTCTATGATAATCACCAAGTCCTACAGAGTCTTGTCTGAATGTGAAACCCCTATCAGCTGCAGTTTTGTAACCTCTGCCTGCCAGCCACATTACCCTCACCCCTCCATCCCTACCCTTTACACACACACACACACACACACACACACACACACCACTGCTGCCGTGATTACTCTATTCTGTAAAGATTTACCCAGCGTCAGGAGCTTCTGTGAGGAGCCTGTGCCTGCCAGTTTGGCGGGACAGGAACAGATGTAGTGAGGTAGGCAGTCTGGGTTCTAATCCCACCCCTTCCACTGAATACTTGTATATGCTGAGAAGGTCAAGATGCTTTAACACTGTGATCATAACACCAACATCATGGTTTCAGTGTTTTACTCCATCCTGATGGCGGAGGCATGTGGCTGCTGGTATCAGGGGCTCCACGTTACCATTGAACAGGAAGCAGAGATGGATCCAGAGCCAGCTCCAAAGTCCTACTTCTGCCAGCTAGAATCCACTTCCTAAAAATTCTACAGCCATTCAAAACAGTGCTACCAGCAGGGGAGCAAACACCCAAAATGTGCCCATGGGGTGCACTTCCAATTCAAGTCATAAAAACCTCTTTAGGCATCTGTGTCTTCATGAAGAGAATGGGGGTGTAGGTGCAGTTACCTCATCAGCACCAACCACAGGCTGCCAGGCATACCTGCCTGAGTGCTCAGTAACAGATCAGCTGCTGTGTTGCTCTGGAGAGCCTGGGGGCAGGCTGGGTTGTGGGTAGGACTAAACAACTATTCATTCCTGGCGTACCCCGTGCCTCTGATCCAGGACATGGTGACCTACTTCTTGAACCTGAGTCAGGCGAATGCACAAGAGACCCCACACTGGGAGCTGGAGTACCGACTGACAGAGGCCTACCAGGTGGAGGATGCAGGCACCGGCTCCATGCACATGGCACTGACCGGCATCGCCAGTGACCAGCACATGCTGCAACGTTACTATGTCTATAACTCAGTCAGCTATGACCATTCAACCTGCGGGGACATCTGCCGCACTGAGCATGTGTGTGCCATGCAGCAGGTGGCATTTGACGCTTATGCTACCTGCTTGCATGGCCTTGGTTCTAGACCCATGATGCCTGGTTTCCTGCTCATGCTGACTCTGCTGGCAAGCTTGACTGTATCGGTGGTGTTATGACTATAGGCACCACCAACCTATCCTCTTACTGGGTCCAGCTTTCTCCTGGTAAACTTGGGCAGTGTCACTTCATGGAGAGGTGCTGTCACCATCAGTCTCCCCTGTCTGTAGAGAGTGAACTAGGATGGATGGGACATTTGGATTCACCAGAGAGGTCTCGAAGAAGCACATTTCTTCCAAGTCTCACGATTTATACACAAAACATGCTCGTGGCACATGTCTTTGTGAGTTATTCCCTTTAATACATATGTATGAAACTACCATGCACTTGATCGCCACAGTAAAATGAGCCATCGGGAAGATGGGCCCTGGAGATCGTGTGCTCTTGATATAGTCTCTGCTCAAGACCTGAACTGGGCGCCCACGTGGTCTGCAAAACCCCTAGGTATTTTTAAAGTTTTCTAGTTTGGTTTCGCAACAGTGCAACTATAAGTGATCACAGCTGTGGTCCGGACTCTAAGCTCTTGCAACTTATTGTTGCCTCCTTGAGCCTCAAATGCACAGTCTAAACCAGCAGCAGCCGGAAGTTGGACTGGATGGGCTGGAGGCGTGGTCTGGGCGGTGGGACCCGCTAGGGGCGGGGTCGTAGTCTCGCTGCTCCCCCGTCAGGGCGAGAGGGGGAAGTTCCGCCCAGCAGCCCCGCCTCCCCGAGGACTGCCCCGCCCCCTTCCCGCCCGACGACCGGGGCTGGAGGGCCGACCCCCGGTTGCAAGGCTGGCTGGAGGGCCATGCCTTTGTCGCTGCGTTCCCCTCTGTTCTTGGACCTGGTCGTGGGCGTGTTGGGTACCGTGTCTTTCCTGTTGGACTTTGCCGCCGACCTGTGGGCTATCGTCCAGTACGTGCTCGGTGGCCGTTACGTGTGGGCTGCGCTGGTATTGTCGCTGCTGGGCCTCGCCTCCACGCTGCTGCAGCTCTTCAGCTGGGTCTGGCTGACCTCCGACCCCGCCGAGCTGCACGGGTCGCTGCCCTCGCGTCGTTTCCTGGGGCTGCTGCATCTGCTGCAGCTCGGCTATCTGTACAGGTGAGTGCCCGCCCGGCCCGTCGAGGAAAGAAATATGCGAGTTTTTTTAGCCCTCAGAGCCATGTCTAGTGAGAAAGTCCCTGGTATAATATGGTCCCAAGGACTTTAAAATTTTTTTTATTATTTTAATTCTATTGTTTTTTTTCGAGACAAGGTTTCTCTGCATAGCCCTGGTTGTCCTGGAACTCGCTCCGTAGACCAGGCTGGCTTCAAACTCAGACCCGCCTGCCTCTTAAAGGCGAGCACCACCTTGTCTGGCGTATTTTTATTTTTCTCATGAATAGGACCTTGGGTGAGTCATTAACCTCTGGTCTCAGTCGACTCAGCGTTCTAGCATGGATGGCAATAGTTGCTACTGGTGTTCTGAGCTGATTAACGGCACACGTCCGTAAATTGTCCTGGTACAGTTAGCTTCATGCTTTCCCGGGCAGCAGCCCCATGCTTTCTCAGGACAGTGTCCCCTTCCCTTTCTTTGTCATTTCTGTCCTTCTCTGTGAGTATTTGCTTCCCCATCGGGGAATGAAAAAGGCAGAGATGGGTTCTGCCTGAGTCACCTGTGTCAGTCGAGTCAGCCGGAGCTGGGCACAGACTGGTTCTTGGAAAATGTGTGTGGGTTTTGTGCTTTTTCTGAACTGCACAGGACCCATGTTCAGCCGGAAGTGAGGACAGTGACAAAGCCCCTGGCACAATGCTGGCCTGGTGACTTTTTTTTTTTAAATTGTGAAAAGGTCCTTGGGTGAGATGGGAGAAAGTAAAACCAAGTGGTCAGGGTCATGTGATGAAGTCAGGGCTCCATGGTGTGGGTTGGATGCAGAATTTGTTGTGGAATTCTCATTTTGGCAAAGCTGCGTACAGCTTCCAACAGTGGGGAGGGCCTTTGAATGTTTGCATTTTTTCTGAGGGGTTGTATGAACATGAGTACAGCCCAGATGAGTGTGAAGGACAGTTGTTATTCCAGACAGGCCAGAGAGGCTGGCAGATTCCCCCAGAACTGGGGTACAGGTGAGCCACCCCATGTGGTGCTGGGAACTAAACGCTGGTCCTCTGCTAGAGCAGTGAATGCAATTAACTACTAAGCCATCTCTCAGGCCCTCATTTGCTTCTTAATTCCATTTCCCATCTCTAAAATAGGGCTTTTTGTGAGTTGTGATAAACTTGGCACCACACCTGACCAGCAAGAGTAGAAGTTGTATGTCCTCCACTTTATGGATGAAGAAATGGGTTCCGTGAGCTTAGGCGGCTTGCCTAAGTTTCCATATCGTTTAAGTAAGTGACAAGCTAGGATTGAAGCCTACCTCCATGTACTCAGTGGTAGAACTGGAGGAATTTACAGAACACTGACCTGACCCACTGGGCATCTGTGTGTTCTGCCTAGGTGCCTGCAGGGGCTACAGCAGGGGCTGTCCATGTTGCAGCAGGAGCTGCCATCTGAGAGTGACCTAGCCTATGCAGACTTCCTCTCCCTGGATATCAGCATGCTGCGGCTCTTTGAGAGTTTCTTGGAGGCGACGCCACAGCTCACACTGGTGCTGGCTATCGTGTTGCAGAGTGGCCATGCTGAATACTACCAGTGTGAGTGCTGGGCCAGTGACTGTCCCTTGGGTTCCCTTCAGTGTCAGCAGTGTCCTAGGAAGACTGAGCATGAGGTTGTGGATCTGGATTCAAAGCTAAAGCCATTTTCAAGCTTCATGCAGTTAGAAAAGTGACTCAGACTATCAGTTTGTGCTCTTCTGAACAATGGGCATAATAAGTGAACCTAACTCTCGGTGAGAAGATTAGATGTGGGGGATGCATGGAAAGCCCAAGGCCTGGTACATAATATATGGTGTGGGTATGTGCATTATATGCTTGTGTGCATTTGCAGCTGTGTATGTGTACATGCAGATGCCAGAGGTCAGTGTCAGGTGTGTTTCTCAATTGCTCTCCCATCTTTTATTTTTGAGGTAGGTTCTCTCTATGTATTCCAGGCTGGACTGGTACTTATTGTGTAGACCAGGGCGGCCTCAAATTCACAGAATCCCACTTCTTTTGCCTCCCCCGTGCTGTGCTTCTAATTATTTTGATGATGGTAAATAAAATATATAGGTTACCTGACATGTAATGGGCTTGTTAGGTAATGAACATTTTATTGAGCACTGTTTCAGCCTGCATGGCTTAGGGATTGACCTAACTGGCAACCAGACTACACAAAAGAGCTGGGATCAGGTGGGCCTTGGGCCTGATGCAGCAGTGTAGCACATTTGAAGTTTCTGTACATACTGGTTTTAGCTAAAGGCCAGCTGTTTTTTAATATCTGTACTTAAACCAGGGGTCATGCCATCCCTATGGGTCTGAGGCACTGCTGTCTTTGACATGGTCATTCATTCTCATGCCGATAACACATATCCACACAGGACCTCTCCTGCTCCCCACAGAAAACCTTCAGACACTCAAGTTTTTTCTTTATCACTGTGGTAGGGACACAGTGGTGAACAAGATACACAGAGCCTTCACCCCGCCTGTAAAACAAATAGTTACACTAGGTGTTCTGAGTGACTGGATGAGGCAGGTGGCAGAGACTCCAAGGCTCCATTAACCCTCAGAGGACCAGGCGCCCCGCCTGGGACTGGTTCTACCTCACACTGGATTGAGAGCCCAGGGCTCCCCATCCTCTTCTCCATCCCTTCAACCTCAAGCAGCTCTGTAGTCTGTAGCAGCTCCCCACGGAAGCCTCCTTGTTGTCACTCACAGTGGGGCCTGGGAGATCCCCTCACTTACGAGGAGAGAGGTGCAGAATGGCGACCTGCTCATTTTCACCACTTGCTAGATGTATGACTTTTCCTTGAGATCAGAGCCTGGTGGAGAGGGTCTGCACTGTCAGTTGAACATGAGGAAACAGGTTTTTCTCAACTTTTGATTGAGCAAACATTAGTGTGTGCCACATATTGGGCCACCTGGAGGCAGAGGCAGGCGGATCTCTGAATTCAAGGCCAGCCTTGACTACAGTGTGAGTTCCTACACAGAGAAACCCTGTCTTGAAAACAAACAAAACAGGTAATTGCTATGTTAATGGGGTGGGTGGGTTGTTACAGGAACCTCTGGCTGCAGTGGGGTCTAGAGGAGCAATCCCAAAAGTTAATTCAAGCTGGGGTTTGCAGGGTAGGCCTGGGTAGGTAAGATGTGGAGCTAGCTAGATTTGATGCCAGGCCACAGATAGGTTCTGGGTACACAGTAGGCTCTCACTAAACTTCTGTTGAATGAATGAGTTAGAAGAGTTGAGGGTAGACACGTAGTGTTGTAGAGCATGCTCATGCCACTCCATCCTTCTTGGAGTCCAGTGTAGGCAGTTCAGAGGTGGGATAGATCCCCTATCACAGAGTGGAAAGTCAGCATAATGGGCCAGGCTGTACATGCAGGAGAGGTGGGGAGGCAGGCCATTCTCGCAGTCCTGAGGACAGCTGTAGGAAGCCTGCTGCTACTCCATGAGAAAGCTTCTACTTTCTGACATGGAGAAAGGGGGGCTGGAACTGCTAATTCAGTTCTCAGACCCTGGAAATGGAAGGACCTAGAAGAAGCTTATAGCCAAGGCACAGGAGTGCCGAATTGTAAGTCTTTGTCACACACCCTCCCATCCTTGTGAATGCTACCAGGGTAGCATGTGAAAGCAGAGCACCCTCTCTTGGGTTGGAACTTAACTGGATGTTCTCCCTCTCCAACTGTCTCTTGAACAACTTGGGGCTTCCAGGGCCGACTTCCCGGTTTCTGCGAGTACTCCTGTGAGCCCTGGGGTTTGCTAGGTAGGTTGTTCTCAAGGCTGACTTGTTTCTTCTTGTTCTTGGTAGGGTTTGGCATCAGCACATCCTTCCTGGGCATTTCGTGGGCACTACTGGACTACCACCGGGCCTTGCGTACTTGTCTTCCCTCCAAGCCTCCCCTGGGCTGGAGCTCCTCTGCCATCTACTTCCTGTGGAACCTGCTGCTGTTGTGGCCCCGAATCTTTGCCGTTGCCCTGTTCTCGGCTCTCTTCCCCCACTATATAGCCCTGCATTTCCTCAGCCTGTGGTTGGTACTGTTGTTCTGGGTCTCGCTTCAAGACACAAAATTTATGCCAAACCCCAACACTGAGTGGCTGTACCGGGTGACGGTGGCAATCATCCTTTATTTCTCCTGGTTCAACGTGGCTGGGGGTCGCACCCGAGGCCGGTCCATCATCCACCTGATCTTCATCATCAGTGATAGTAGTCTGCTGGTCAGCACCTGGATGACACATAGCATCGGGCTACCCAGTGGAACCTTCTTGCCATTGTGGTTGAGTATAGGAGGAGCCTGCTTCCTCTTGGGACTGACTTTGCGTCTGATCTACTACCTCTGGCTGCACCCTCAATGCCGCTGGGAACCCAGCTGCGTAGATGGGGCCCTAAGTCTTCTTCCTAGGAAACAGCTTAAATTGCTTTATAATAGGCGAGCCACTCAGTTAGCACAGAACTTCTTCCCCAAGAACAAAGCGAGTGCCGCTCTGCCACTGGTTGGAAAGGTGGAAGGAGTTATTTGAGGCAGGGTTTGACTCAGCCAGCGAGGACAATGTAAAGAGCTTGGCCTTGGAAAGGCCAAAGGCCAATCATATACAAGCCATTTTCTCTTCCCTTCTAACCAATAGAGCTGCTGTTAGCAAAGCCTCACGTTGCCATTCTCGCCTCTCAGGTAACTGGTGGAGGTATTCTGTTTCCTGGGTTCCTTGGCCTGCTTTAGAAGGCCCTGGGATGTTTTCGAGATGTCTTCCCTACCCCCATCCACTTCAATTAACAGATGCTGAGAGCGCTTTATGTTCTTGAGCAACGTTCTAATTGTTGAACTGGCCGCCACCCTAGCTTCTTTCCCCTCCCCACTTGAAAAATCTGATCTCAAAGACCAAAGGCCAGCGATGACCCTGCCAGCCCCTCCAGTGTTGCCATGCAGCAGTCTCTACTCTGGCTGTTAGGCTACTTTTAAATCAAGTGCCTTATGGACCTGTGGCCTGGGCCATGCACTATCTATTGAGTGTTTTTCATTCTAGCTAGCATACGTACCTCCTACCTCAGTCTGTGAATGGAAGAGAACATGTGCGCACGTGTTTATCAGTATTATTAAAACCACATGAGATTCTCCAAACCAGTGTGTACCAGTAAGTACACTCCTCACCTTTCTCTTACAGACAGGTGGCGGGAACCTGGAACCCCTTAAAACTGGTACAGGCCGGGCGTTGGTGGCACATGCCTTTAATCCCAGCACTCGGGAGGCAGAGGCAGGCGGATCTCTGTGAGTTCGAGGCTGGGCTGGACCGACAGCCTCCAAAACAATACAGAGAAACCCTGTCTCATAAAACCACAAAAAAATAAAAAAAATGGTACAGACCCTTGGAATAGAGATGTGGGCTGAGTGAGGTATGACTTTGTAATGAGTATCTAAATTGTTACAGTATAATAAAAACTCAGGAGTCAGAAATTGAGGTAAAGACCTGATAAACCCAAGGACAACAGAGAGCCCACTGGCTGACCCTCTCCGCACATTTCCCCATAATTATCTCCCCAGAAATCCTCTCTTCTCTCTTCTTGTCCTCTCTAGCAGACCTCTTCAACTCTATAGCTAATCCCAGTCAGCCAGTCGCTGACTCCATCCTATGATTCAAGGTGGCTTTACTGGCACAGTAGAATGGCTATACCTACAACTCTCCTACAACATTTCTCCTTTCAGTTGGTAGAGCATGGGGCTCTTAATCCCAAGGTCATGGGTTTGAGCCCCATGTTTAGCCTTTTTCTGTCCTACCAGCTAGCTCCCCAAAAAGCAACACAGAGACTTATTATAAAAGCTTGGGCTTGTCCCACTAGCTCTTATAACTTAAATTAACCTGTTTATATTAATGTTTGCCTCATGGCTTTTTAACTGTATGTCTGACTCCCTCTGTCTTGGTGTCTCAGGTGCCTAGATTCATCTCCTATTTCCTCTTTGCTGGAAGTCCCACCTATACCTCCTGACCAGGTGCTGGACATTCAGCTCTTTATTAAACCAATCAGAGCTGTATATCTTCACACAGTGTCCAAGTATCCGACAGCATGACTTACTCTTGCTTTCCAAGATACAGTAGCTGATGAGCTAGAGTGGGTTGCTCATCTGGCAGGCAGAACTCACATGTGGGCAGACTCTAGTGCATTCTAGCAGTTCTGCTACTGGGTCTGAAGAGTAGCGTCTTTAGGACCAGGAGGTGAGTTTGAGGGGCTGGGTGGAAAGTCGAGTACTGGGAGTCCTCCATGGGTAAGAGGAAGTGACTCCTGGGATGTGGATGTTGATGGTTTTGGGAAGAGGGAGTGTTCTGCTCCGGGAAGTCTGTGATCTGGTGAAACAGGGAACAGGAAAAAGGTGCCAGAGGCAGAGGAAAAGTTCTCATTCCCAGTGCTGGGACCCACGATAGCTCTACCAGTCACTCATTGGCATGGGGGTAAAATAAAGCATGATCAAAATATGTGTCATTGCACAGTGTCAAGTGCTGAAAGAACAGAAAGAGTGTGTGTTATGGGCAAGTTACAACTTTACATAGGACTGTTAGAGAATACATCTCTGAGAAACTGAGGCACTGAAGGTGTAGGAAGAGCTACTTTAGCAGTGACTGCAGCCTGAAGCCCGAGAAGCAAGCAGAGCCTAGAGTCATGCTACGGTATGTTGGCTGAGAGGAGTCTGCAAGTGCTGTTCCTGTGGGACAGTCCCACTGGGAGAGGACTGTGGAGTGCTGTTGGCTCACAGCTAAGAAGGCTGTAGAGATGCAGGCGGGGGCCAGGGAGAGGGCGTGGGAAAAGACACAGTGCTTCTCATACTGAAACACTACATGCTGCAAAGTGTTATGGACAGAAAGGACATAGTGATTTCCAGACCTTAACTTCATAGACCAGTAAAAGGGGCCAAAGTGGTTGTTGATGTTAAAAGAGCATGAAAAACAATTCTACCATCTCATGAAAGACTGGATGTGAGTACATTAGAAGGGACCATTCTATAAACAGACACCTCTAGGGGTACACATCTGAAACCACTGTTATCCTCATTTACACAAAGGGCGATGTCTAAAGAGGGCTGGAACTGGTGTGGTGCACCTACCATTCTAGGCAAGGACATCAGGAGTTCAGACTCTTCAGTGACAGAGGACCATGTGGACTACATGAAACCCTGTGTAGATGGAAGTTTCTGTCCCACCTGGTCCTGTGGCAGTTCAGTCCCAAATAAACACACAGAGGCTTATAAACTGTTTGGCCTATTGCTCAGGCTTATTCCTAACTAGCTCTTACAACTTAAACCATAATTCTTATCTATGTTTGCCCAAGTGGGTTGGTACCTTTTCTCAGTAAGATATTTTTATCTTCCTCTGTGTCTGGCTGGTGCATCTCTGCATCTCTGCCTTTCCTATTGTCAGAATTCTCCTAGTCTGGTAGCCCATCTATAAAGTAGCCAATCAGCATTTTATTAAACCAATATGAGTGACAAATCTTTACAGTGAACAAGAACATTATTCCACATCACCTTGTCTCAAAACAAAAACACAAGATGTGTTTAGAATTTCATTTTTGGCTGAGCTTCTTTCGTTTGTATTCCAGATGAAGTTGTCAAATGTGGTTATGTGTATTAAATCTAAACAATGTGTTATACTACCTAAAACACATAACCAAATACTATATAAAACTATGTATTAGCCAGGCGTTGGTGGTGCACGCCTTTAATCCCAGCACTCGGGAGGCAGAGGCAGGCAGATCTCTGTGAGTTTGAGGCTGGGCTGGACCGATAGCCTCCGAAACAATACAGAGAAACCCTGTCTCGTAAAAACAAAACAGAAAACAATGTATTCTACCTAACACACTGATGCACACTTGGAGTTTTTGAAACAGGGCTTACAGAGAACTAACCTAGCTTGGAACACATGCAGATGAGGCTAAACTCTGATCCTCCTGACTCCACCTATCAAGTACTGGAGCTAAACACATGTCAGGGCTGGGGCCAGAGATTCAGCTCAACAGTTCAGAGCCCTCCCAGCTCCTCTAAAGTTTTGGTTCCCAGAACTCACTTTGGGGAGTTCACAACTGCCTGTAACTGGCTCCAGGGGATCCAACATTCTCCTTGACCTTTGCACATGCATGTACAGGTGTGCATGCACACACCAAAACAAACAAAAACCCACAGTGCCCCCCCATGTTACTACATTGACCTTGTTTTTAGACAGTCTATTCTGTTTGAGATGATCTTGAATACATCATCCTGCCTCAGCCTCCCAATTGTTAGGATTACAGGTGTGTACTACGATACAAAGCTCTGTGTTTTTTAAAGTTTAGAGAATTTAAAACTAGATTAGTGATGTTACCTGTATAGAAATGTCCTTGAAGATTCACATTGAGATATATGTATTTTTGGTCTATGAGAGGAGGTTCCACACATAGTTTAGGGTAGCTCAAACTCTTGATAATCTTGCCTCTGCTTCTAAGGAACACCACTCCTGACCAATAACATTTAAAAAAATTATTTCATGTGCATTTGTGTTTTGCCTGCATATATATGTGTGTGTGTGATCTGTGAAACTAGAGGTACAGGCAGTTATGACCTGCAACGTGTATTCTGGGAATTCAACCCAGGTCCTCTGAGGAGAAGCCAGTGCTCTTAACTGCTGAGCCACCTCTCTAGCCCCTGACCAAGAACTTTTAAACATGAAGAAACCTGTTATAGAAAAATAAACCACATTAGGATTTACATGTTCCAGGACTGCTAGGGCCACACAAGGGAACCGTCTTGAAAGTCAAAAAAAAAAAAAAAAAAAAAAAAAAAAGATTTGCATGTCACTGAAGGGTTAGGAGTTGGGGGGGGGGTTACTCTTGGGATTTGCAACCTGCTTGTAACTGAGCAGGGCACCAACAACAGCTAACAGTCGGCTTCAGCAACACTGTGACTCAAAAGACCACTATCCGCCGGGCGTTGGTGGCTCACGCCTTTAATCCCAGCACTCGGGAGGCAGAGGAAGGCGGATCTCTGTGAGTTCGAGGCCAGCCTGGTCTACAGAGTGAGTTCCAGGACAGCCTCCAAAAGCTACAGAGAAACCTTGTCTCGAAAAAAAACCAAAAAAAAAAAAAAAAAAAAAAAAAAAGACCACTATCCAGGGTATGAGAGGAAATTCACCTTGTGGTCTGCTATATTGGGTCTTTGGAAACAAGAAGTGCATTCAAATTTTCTTCATTGGAATAAAAGGCTAAAACGCTTCCAGGTTGTTTTCCAAGCCACTCAGACCACCGTGAAGGAGTGGAGAAAAGCTAGCTGACGTGACACAAAATCAGGCCAGATTAAAGGTGCATGTGAGCTCACTGATGTTACTGGTCTGCAGTACAGGGTAACTTCTCTTTAGTAAATTCAGCACACTAGACAGCTCAGGAAATCTCCATTTCTACACCTTAAAAAGTGCTGCATTCTAGGAATAATTTAAATATAAACAATTCCTTGTTTCCCACTGTATATCAAATGATTACTTTGTATGTATGAAATTAATGACCTAATATTGAAAGGTGACATCTTTCTGAATGAAGCCCTGATTAGGACCCTGCATGGCTCAGCAACTGGGTTAGCCCTGTTTAGAAAAGACAAATGAGAAAACTATATAGAAAATAAAAATTTTTATTTTTTTCAAGTTTATAAGATAGTTCCCATTACATATAACATTATGGTCAAGGACTCAAAGCCACAAATGCCTGCAGTCACATAAATATATCCAACCCCACTGATGCTCTTTCCTGCTAAAGAGGCATCTGAAGTCCAGAGGGAGAGTGGCGGTCCAAGAAGAAATGGTCCTTAATGGAATGGCTCCGCTCAGTGTGCTAGGAGGCAACCAGGGAGCTTTGCTTGCTAGAGCTGACTCAAGGCAGAGGGAGGACAGGTGGCCTGCGGACAGGGCTGGGACACAAGCAGGTTTTTGCCTCTGTGGTTAAGATATTTGAGCTCAGAATTCCAACTTGGCATCTACAATGAATCTTCTTGAAGACAGAGACCAAGTTAGCAGCAAGGAACAGAAGCTTACTCAAGAAGGCCTCACTGCAACCTGGGGAAAAGTATGGAGGGAGGGCCCAAGCTTGCCACTTGGGGGCTAGCCTGTACTCTCCAAGAGGATAGCACCATGCTTTGCCTGGTGCTCTTGTCAGTTGTGTGACTCCCATTCAAAGTACTGTCTACAAGTGTCACATGCTTGCAGCTGCATACCAATCAGATTCTACTTGGGAGCTGTGAAGGCTGAGTTTGTGTGAACTGCAAACTGTGCCAAGTCTGTTGGGATACTAGCTCTGACACCCAACTTGCAGAGAAGTTGTAAGTCAAAAGCCCAAATAGGCACCTGAATTCTGGGGCAGGTATCCACACTCCCGGACATCACCAGCTGTTCCAGGGCCACTAGACAGGGTGATGCTAAGGCACAGTCAGTTTTACATTCGAAAGTCACCTCATATCCCAGAACATCCCTGCAACTCCACAGACACTCCTAGAATTAGCCCACACCACGAAACGTCCAGACTAACCTTGAGAGCACTGGATCCAACAGGGGAAGGATTATCAGCTAATTACTTCAGGGTGTGTCTTTCTGGTGAAAGGACCCACTTTCTTTCAGCTCCTACTTCCAACAGCTTTTAATTTTTAAAAGAAATTGTATGAGTATTTTCTTGCATGTATATAAGTCCTTGGTGCCTGAAGAGGCCAGCAGAGGGCAAACCCTCTGGATCTATAGTTACAGATGGTTGTGAGCAGTTCTGTGGGTGCTCAAACCTTGAACCTCTGTACCAGCAGCCTGATATTAACCAATGAGCCATCTTTCTAGTACTAACAGCTATAGTGCTGCCAGCTCCTTTTCCTTCCCAAGCCTTTGTGGGAGGGAGGCAGAGTCAGTACAAAGGGCAGCAGCCTCGGATGCTCCTTTCAGTGGAGACCCCAACACACTCTCACTTCCTCTGCCAGAACAGAGGCTCCTCAGCTAGCAGCCCCGGATGCTCCTTTCAGTGGAGACCCCAACACACTCTCACTTCCTCTGCCAGAACAGAGGCTCCTCAGCTCAGAGTGTCTCCTTGCCTCTCTTGGCCAAGTCCAAATTCCTTTTATAAAGAGAACTAAATTGGGCAGGCAGGGCAAGCAGGGATTCCATGTTACATTCTAAGAATGAAGAGCCTCCCCTGAAGTGTTCGTGGTGTTAACCTGTGTGTAGAGGGCTGTGTGTCACCATGTGGAAGCCTTAAAAGCCTGAAGACCAACAGGTAGCCTTTGTCCAGGACAAGAAATTACACTGGTGATGAGGGAAGGTTTGAGGGTTGAGAGTAAAACTTACCCTGGAGTTTTCTATGTTGGGCCAGGAAGCAAAGGCTGGGTAGTGTTAGGATGATGGTGCTAAATGTAGCCTATGAAAGTCTGGCTTAGACTCCACCTCTTTGTTCCCACCCTGCACCTCAAATCAAAGCCAAATGGGTAACCAAGATGGAAGCCCAACCTTATATCCTGTCTGAGCCCCCTCCTTATTGGCTGCTCTCAGTATTGCCCAACAGTTTTAAAGACAGTGTGCTGTCCAGTAGCCTGGCATTAGGAGGAACCTTGTCTCTGTGCTGCAGCATCTCTGGGGACAGTGACTATAGCTATGGGTTGGACCTCCTGAGGACCAAGGCTGGACACATCCTCAACTCTAGGCAAGTTTACACCAATTAAGCAGGTACCCACATTGACCCTAAAGGGATAATGCCTTCAAACGAAACAAAACCCCACAAGACAGCTGGGCTTGAAGGCTGGGACTAGGCCAAGGCTACCCTCCACACCATCTAGGGGCAGGCTGCTAAGTGTTCTTGCACCTAGCTCAGGATTATATATTTTCAGGCCTGGTTTCCCACTTTTAGCATGGAATCTGAGAAATGGGGTATTTCATGGGAGACTGGGTTTTGATTCTAGCTATCTGCTCTCCCAGGCACACATTGGGTAGATATAAGTTGGGATAACTGCATGTAAATGCAGGACAAAGGAAGCAGGTATAACTCACTCTTAAGACTTTTTGACTTTGAGTGGGCAGGGGCTGGCCAGAGCTGTATGCAGAGCGGTGGATTTGAGATACAGAGAGCAGGGAGTGTGAGTCCAGCACCTAATGGCTGAGCCGGCCACAGAGCAAGCCTCTGGTGGGGACAGGTGCTGCTCGCTCTGCAGGAACTCTAGGTAGGACCTTACCACAGGAGCCAAGGATGACACTCCTAAGAAGCCAAGTCTCTTCTAATTTGGAAGCTGAGCCTCTAAACTATAAGCTAAAGGCTTAGATTTATTGTCTATGGGAAGTAGTTTCCAGGGTTGTGACTTTTGGTTACAGGGGAAGAAGGACTGGCAAGAAGACCGAGGCTTTACAAGATGGGAGATGCCACAGTCCAAAGTTAGTAAGTGGTCTCCTGAAGAGCAGAGTGCTGGGGCCACTCAAGAGTGCTACTGTCACAGAGAGGTATTTCACACATTTCCATTACTGCTGTCACGGAGACTTTACACACCGATTTCTTCATAGAAAAGGGGAGGGATGCTTCAGAGACCAGATCCTCACCTACAAAAATAACATCCCCATTCACTGGAAGAGAAGTCCTACAGCTAAGATTACAGGAGATGTTCTCCCGGGACGGGGCAGTTTCCGTCAGCATGATCAGGAGCAGCTCCCAGTCTGTCTGTGCACCAAGAGTGCAACTGTGTTCCCAGCATTGCCTTTTCTTGCTCTTCCTTTGTGAAACAAAACAGAAGTCAAGCACGGTAGCAGGAGGTCTGCTGTCCTATCCAGCCACCTCCTGCTGTACTATAGGTGGGGCTGCGCTCACTCTTAGCAAAAACTGCAGTTGGTTCTGATTGTGTTCTCGCCAGCATTCCATGGTGAGAAAGAGCACAAAAGAAGGGGAGGGGTGCTGAGACAGACAGACAGACAGACGGAGAGAAGGGTCTCAGAGGGTTCTGGCCTCTGACTCCTGTTGGAGGTAAAAAGAAGCTCACAAGGAGGGAAGGCTCCACGTTCCAGTTCTTAGAGGAAGTCAAGCTCTAAAGCCTGGTGCAGGGACACCAGGTCTCCATGGTTTGTGATCCTCCAGAAGGGCATGTTGTGCTGGAAGAGAAGGAGGAGGCTAGTTAGCCTAATTTCTGGGACCTAACTTACACCCCCTCCTCCACAGACATCTCCTTGAGGCTCTTGGTAACCATCTACTCTTATGTCAGAACTTTGTACATTACAGGACATAGAAATGTGAGTAATTTTTATGAGATTTCAATGCTACCTATGTTTTTTTTTCTTTCTTTTTTTTAAATAATTTATTTGTTTATATTTTATTTGCACTGGTGTTTTGCCTGTGTGTATGTCCATGTGAGGGTGTCAGATCTTGGGGTTACAGACAATTGTGAGCTGCCATGTGGGTGCTGGGAATTGAACCCGGGTCCTCTGGAAGAGCAATCAGTGCTCTCAATGGCTGAGCCATCTTTCCAGCCCCCTACCTAGTTTTTATAAGAGGAACCTGTCCCAGATTTTAAGGTTTTCGGGTTAAAATAAAATGGTAATAAGAAATTAGTATTTCTTTTTTTGTTTGTTTGTTTTCAGACAGGGTTTTCTCTGTATTGTTTTGGAGGCTGTCCTGGAATTCGCTCTGTAGACCAGGCTGGCCTCAGACTCACAGAGACCCCCTGCCTCTGCCTCCCGAGTGCTGGTATTAAAGGTATGTGCCACCAATGCCCGGCTAGAAATTAGTATTTTTGAATGTAGTGGTGAATAACTGTGATCCCAGCACTTGGGAGGCTGAGACAGGAGGAGTACAAGATTGAGGCTAGCCTGAGCAACACAGGAGATACTGTTAGAACTGACAGACCAGGAAGGAAGCTAGTACTAAGTTTTACTGCCTTGCAGACGGTCAGTTTCCTGTAAGCCTTCGCTCTAACAGGCTCAAATACTACCCATGTCCAAGAGGCAGGACATACAGATATTATGTCACCAGAACTGTACAAAGAAGAACATGTGCTGTTCTTCAGTCCTTCCAGCACTTACTCAGCCATGCTCTATGAAGTGGAAGATGATAAGTTTCACTGACCCTCTGTTCAAACTGGTTGCTAACTAGTTATTCAGAACGCTGAGGTTTAGAACAGTTCTGGCTTATAGTTAGTTGTCCTTGCTGGCTGCTCAACTGTGGGGTTGTTAGCAGACAGCAGAGGAAGAGGACAGCAGTGCCAGATCATGGCATTTTGTCCAATGGAAGGAAGGACCCTGACACCTTGAATGGCCCATGGGTAGGCTGTTGGGAATCAGTTCCCTCATCCTTCGGGTGCATTCATGCAAGGACTAGTTTTCTTCCAGAAAGGCTGGCAGAAAGCCCGACAGAAAGCAGGCTAAGTTGCATAAAGCACTCAGATTAAAAAAAATAATTTACTTAATTTTATTTTATGTACATCAATGTTTTGCCTGCAAGTATGTCTGTAGGAGGACATTGCATCCCCTGGAACAGGAATTACAGACATTTACGAACTGCTCTGTGGGTACTGGGAATTGAACCTGGGTACTCTAGAAGAGCAACCAGTACTCTTAACCACTGAGCCATCTCTCCAGCCCCTCCCCCCTTTTGTTTTCCTAGACAGGGTTTCTCAGGAGTACTGTTCTGGCACTCACTCTGTAGACTAGGCTGGTCTCAAATTATCTGTCAACCTCTGACTCTGGAGTGCTGGGATTCAAGGCATGTGCCACCACTGCCCTGCCTCATATTTTTAATGAGCATATTTCACTTTTCCTCAGTGCTGAGGACTGACTACTAGGACTTAAACATACCCTGGACTCCTGAAGAGTGTATTTCCTAGTAGATTGCAGACCTTAGCTTGGGGGTGGGGGGAGGCAGTATTCTGCAAATGCTCGAGCTCTTCTCTCTCTTCCCTATTCCTTTTCCAGACTGAGAAACCACTGATGTTTTTCCTAAAGGAATACTGAGCAGTACTGGAGAATCAAAGCTTCAATGATTAACATGGAAAGGCTCTATTAAGTGGCAAGTATTTCATGAAAACATCATGAAATAATGATGCCAATTGATTGTCAATCACTAGTACTTGCTGTGGTTTCTATGAAATGGGTGAAGAAAATCAGCCATGGCTAAATCAAAACAAAAGAAACAAAGGAGAAGAGAGAATGTTTATACGCCCATAAAACAGATGAACAAACTCTGAGAAGGTAAACAGACGGTGACACAGCTAATAGTGCACTTCACTTGACTTTAAGAGACAGGGCCAGCCGGGCATTGGTGGCGCACGCCTTTAATCCCAGCACTCGGGAGGCAGAGGCAGGTGGATCTCTGTGAGTTCGAGGCCAGCCTGGTCTACAAGAGCTAGTTCCAGGACAGCCTCCAAAGCCACAGAGAAACCCTGTCTCGAAAAACCAAAAAAAAAAAAAAAAAAAAAAAAAAAGAGACAGGGCCTTTTTATGTAGGTAAGGCTGACCCAAACTCCTGGCCTCAAGCAATCTCTCCTCTCCACCCAAGTAGCCAGGACGGTGGATGCACATGACCTGACCACACCTGGCTTAATCTACCTGATTTTAGATTCCATAGCCCAAACTCAGATACTATTTCCTGTATGTAGGGAGGATGACCCTGGGCTGGGGCCTGCATACTGATAGGGGAACTGTATGAACAAACTTGCAGGGCTTTCAAAAGCAAGAAAGACTTTCTCTAATACAACTCCTGATTGAGTGTACTTGTTTTTCTGTTTCCCTCCCCACTTTTAAAAACAAACACGAAGCCTAAGAAGATTAGTTTGCTTTTTTGCAGTGAGTCTGATGTCCTCAGAATCTCAGATGAAGATGAGGCCCACTTCAGGGTTAATGAGAGGGACCCTGAACTTGCTAGGTAGCCTAGGGAGGACCTTGAGCATCTGATCCCCCTGTCCCCACTTCTGAGTACTGGAACCACAGATGTGTACCATCACATCTAGTTTTATGTGGTGTTGGGAATTGAACCTGGGGCTTCCTAGTGCATGTAAGCAAGCATTATCCAACTGGTCTACATCCCTAGGCTTGGTTCTAAGACTGTTGAGTGGCAGGGAGGAAAGGACAGAAGAGGATCTAACAAATTCCAGGAAAAATGACCTTTAAGAAAAGTGAGGAAGATACATACTGCAAATGCACAATGTGGTAAAGATTCTCCAGTTTTCCCATTTCTCTCCATACTCCTTTCTGACAAGAGTCTCATGCATCCTGTGAACTCACTATATAGCCAAAGACGCCCTTTCAACCTCCTACCCATATTTCACATGCACTGTGATTACAGGCATGTTCCATCCTGGTTATACAGTGCTAAGGATTGAACCCGGGTTTCATGTGGTGAGGCAGCACCCTGTCAAGTAAGCTAGATCCTCAGCCTTTCTTCCCTCCTTTACTCATAGTTCTGCCCCCACCCCGCACAGTCCATATCCTCTCACTGCCTCCAGATGGAGGGATTAGAGATGCACACCACTGTACGGGCTCTACTGTACCATTTTTCTAATTGCTTTGTGCACAACCACATAACTGATTTCTCCCCCTTTCTATAGTTACCTGCTTGGCTGCAATTTCTTCATCTCGTCCATCTCCAATCACTACATATGTGACTTTCTTTCCAAACCTTGACACAATTCTCTCAAAGCAGCTCTCCTTACCTATAGAGAAAACACATTTCAGTACCAAAGATAAGGCTGCTGCTCCATTCATCTGCTTTACTGGCAGCCTGTGCAGACTACTCAGGGTTAGGAGCAGAGTCAGGGCTTCAATAGCTCCTTCTGCTCAAAGAATGTGAAAGTGTGCCATTACCAAAATAACTCACTTTAACCTTCGCATTAGAGGGCAGGTTACCAAAACCTTAGCATGAAAGAGTATCTAAAAACAGAGGACAATGAGCCGAGGCTGAATAAGCTGTGACCATCTCCACCTCTCTCTCCTTGAGTATTTCCCATACTCTATAGCTAACAAAACACCCATCTCTATCATTGAACTCTCTTTTCTCACTTTGCAGACAATGGGCCATCATAAGTTTAGTGACTTCCCCAGATCATAAACAAACCAGCAACTAGATTTGGCTTGGGTCTTGATACCAGATACAGGCTGTGGCCACAATCTACAGCAAATGTTATCTATTTAAAACCCCATATTTTTTCATTGATTAAATTTATTCTTTTTTTTTTTTTTTTTTTTTTTTGGTTTTTCGAGACAGGGTTTCTCTGTGGCTTTGGAAGCTGTCCTGGAACTAGCTCTTGTAGACCAGGCTGGCCTTGAACTCACAGAGATCCGCCTGCCTCTGCCTCCCAAGTGCTGGGATTAAAGGCATGCGCCACCAACGCCCGGCTTGATTACACTTATTCTTGGAGAATTTCATATGTATAAAATGTGTTCTGATTACTTTCAGCCCTGTCCTGCCTGCCATCTCCCTCCCACCTCTATGATACCCCCCCCAAAAGTCCCTTTCTCACATTCATGTCTTTTTGTTTTGAGTCCCATGGGTTTGAACCAGGGCCATGTATGTGACCAAGAGCTGAGAGCTACCCACTAGAGCCTGGTGAGCTCCTCTATCCTGCTCCATTAACCTCATTTTTAATTCCTGTCAGATCCAGTGACCTAAGAGTCTTCTTCAAGACACTGGACAGCCATCTGCAGGAAAGTGATTACAATACCTGTAAAGATGACACTCCTAGTCAAGTGATACCTCAGTGGTGTCCTGGAGCAGACATTGATCCAGTCTGGTTCAGTTTCTCCCTTAAGAGATAAGACTTTTTGGGTATATTTGGTGTTTTTGGTGCTAACTTCACCATGGCAGTCCTACCTGACTTTCCTCTGCAACATTCAGTTGTTGCTGAATGAAAGCTTGTCACTGTATATTTACATATGACTCAGAGCCAATATACCAAGTCCAATTTGGTTTAACTATTAGATAACTAATATTCAAATAATTAGACTAATGCTTTCTATTTTGGGAGTATGTATATCTGTATATGTGTATGGGTGGATGTGTATACATGCACACGGAAGCCTGTGGTAAACCCCAACTGTCATTCCTTAGGAGCTATAAATGCCTTGTTCTATGAGACAATTTCTTTCACACTAGGACATGAGGCTCACTGCTTATTTTAGGCTGGCTGGCCAGCAAGCCCCAAGAATCCTCCTGTCTCTGTCTCCCCACTGCCAGGATCACAAGTATCTGTCATCATACCCATTACATGTGGATGCTGGGGACAAATTCAGGTTCTCAGGCTTGTGTGGCAAATACTTTACCATCTGAGCTTTCTCCCAGCCCCTGAAATTTTTATTTTTCTCTTTTCTATGATGTTATTTATGATTTATTAAAGCTTGCCTGAATATTCAGAAAACAAAGTGAGCTTCAAGGCAGTGGTGGCACACACCTTTAATTCCAAGACTCAGGATTAAGAGGTAGACGGATCTCTCTGTTCAAGGCCACCATGGCCTACACAAGAGTGAAGAGTAACAGAGCTCAAGCCTTTGATCCCAGCACCTGGGATCACATGCCTTTAATCCCACCAATAGAGAGGTATGCATGACAGGAGCAAGGTCTCAGAGCTGGCATTCAGTCTCAGGATTCTCCAGCCACGCTGAAGAGAGCTTAGAAGTCTGGGGTTTCAGTTTGAGGTTTGGTGGATCCAGGATTGCCTTTCAGCCTGAGCTAGAGGTACAGCTAGTGGCTGGCTGCTTTGCTTTCTGATCTTCAGTCTCTAGGTCTTTTTATTTATTCATGTTACACTTTTCTTTTTTGTTAGTTTTTCTGTTTCTTTGTATAAGAGCCCTAGTAGTCCTGTAACTCACTCTGTAGACCAGGCTGGCCTCGAACTCACAGAGATCCACCTGCCTCTGCCTCCTGAGTGCTGGGATCAAAGGCGTGCACCACCCAGCTCTCTTGTTTTATGATGCTAGCAATCAAACCCGGGGTGAATGCTAGGCAAGCATTCTGTCAACTAGCTACAACCCCAACCCTGAATTCTTTTCAAAATCTTTGTTAGCATACAAAGTAATGGGTTTCATTATGGCATTTTCATATATGTTATTATTAAGATTTATTTTTAATTATGTGTATGTGGAGGGGTATGTGCACATGAGTGTAGGTGACTGCAGAGATCAGAGGAGCTGAGCTGGAGTTACAGGCAGCATGAGCCACCTGATACAGAAACTGAGAGTTGACTTCAGGGAAGCACTGTAACTTCCTACTCCCTCTGTGCTAGTTCTTCGTGTCCCCCAACAGCCTCTTCTGCTCTCAGCATTATCCCACTGAACCTCTTCTTAAGATCTCTTCCTTCCTTTCATGGCCCCTTTCTGAAAGCTCTGCTCCCTGACCCCACCTTAAACCTAAACTTCAGATAGCAGAGAAAATATGTGATGTTCTTTCTTTCTTCCTTTTTTCTTTCTTTCTTTCCCTTCCTTCCTTCCTTCCTTCCTTTTTGAGACAGGGTCTCTCTACATAGTCCTGGCTGTCCTGGAACTCACTTTGTAGACTAGGCTGGTCTTGAACTAATGGAGAATCACCTGCCTCTGCCTCCTGAGTGTGTCTTTCTGAATCTGGCATATATAATTTTCAGTTACAAATGTCAGATTTCATTTTTCTGTATGCCCAGCCCTGAATTCTAATGTTCAAAGTATTAAAGAGTTAATTGTTTAATTAGCATTTCTAATTAAGCCAATATCTAAAAGTGATCTGCTTATAAAAAATTGGTTAGATTTCAGACATTATCCTAAGACTAAGCAAAAGGACTATCTCAATGTTTAGGATGAAGAAATTCCCAATGTCCTGATATGTTCTGATCAAGGATGAAATAGCCTCTGGCATGCCTCCCCCACACCTCATCAGCAGGTTCAGGTGAAGGAGGAGAGATGCACACAAAGAACCAGCTCTAATAGACACTTCAGAAAACTATGGATGTCAGCTCTTCTCTTCTGGAAGATGTGGGAGTTTCTTCTATGAAAAATACCTCTGATATCCGAGTGTGGAACAAATGCCTGTAACCAAGAACTTGCAAGGCTAAGGCAGAAGGATCACTGTGAGTTAGAAGCAAGCTGAGCTAGAGACCCTGATTCCAAAAAACAAAACAAAGTCCCCAAGCTCACTTCTGGCATTTTCAGAAATGATGTTGAGAATTCAATGTCTAAGGTTACTGAGTGACTCCATAGAAAATCATAATTTTAGCTGGGCATGGTGGCATATGCTTTAATCTCAGCTTTTGGGAGGCTGAGGATGATCAGAAACTTTCAGGTCATCCTTGACTACACAGTATATTTGAGGCCAGCCTGGGCTACATGAGACCCTATCTCAAAAAATATACAAAAAGGAAAACTGTAATTTTGAAATCACTTCAGAGAAACTGGAAAAGGCCTTTTATTCTTGCTCCCATTTCACAGCTCTGTCAAAGCCTCAGGCCTCTTACCGTGGTTACCATGGCAACAGATCACACCAGCTTCCATTAGCTCTGGAGAATTATGACTGAGGAAAATCACCAAGTAAGCTCCCTTAATGCCAGAGAGAATAAAGCCATTCCATTAGTTTGATTAGTCTGTGGGCACTAAGCCTTAGTGCAATGATTACTACAGAAAATACAGCTCTTGGGTATAGGAGGCTCCTAGGGAAGGGAAGGTTGGCTGCACGGAAAGCAGAAGCACCTTTGTCTGTTTCCTCAATTCCCAAAGGCCTTTGTCAATGGAATATTTAACCTATGGAGAAAAGGACTGATGAGTAAAACCTAAATGACTACAGAACTTCCACTACCAACTTCATGTTCTCAGTTCTTATTTAAAAAACTAGATTTATTCATTTTATGTGTTTTGCTTGCATGGTATGTATGTACATCATGTGTGTGCTTGCTGTCCTTAGAAGCCAAAAGAGGCCGGGCGTTGGTGGCGCATGCCTTTAATCCCAGCACTTGGGAGGCAGAGGCAGGTGGATCTCTGTGAGTTCGAGACCAAGCCTGGTCTTGAGCAAACAGTAACTGCTAACCTCAATCGTGTTTTTTAGAAGATTGGGGGATGGCAAACACATTTGTACTATGTACCAGAACTGGCAGTAACACAAGCCCCAGGGAAAGTTTCCTGAGAGGCCACTGGGGAAACAACCTACCGATTTTGGTAGCACTGTAGATGTTTTCAATAGGAAATATTTCTCCTAGTCCATATAGGAGAACCTTGGCCAGGGCTGGAACCAGCTGTGTAGTAGTGATCAGAACATTCACACAATTCTTTCTAGAAGGGAATACGAAGGAAAAGAAAATGGTGAAACTGACATAACCTAGGAGCAAGAGGAAACCTCAAAGAGCTGGACACTACTGATCAATGTCAATGTTATATTACCCTTCCCCCAACCACCCGAAACAGTGTTTTTCTGTTTGGTACTAGCTGCCCTGGAAACTGGCTCTGTAGAAGAGGCTGGCTGACCTTGAACTCGGAGATCTGCCTGCCTCTGCCTCCTTCATGCTGGGCCACCACATCCAGCTCAATTATTATTCTTATTTAGATTTTACTTTCTTACTAAAGGGCAGAGGGACCAGTGAGATGGCTTATACATACACTTGAGGTGCTGGGAATTGAACCTGGGTCCTCTGCTAGAGCAATGAGTACTCTCAAGCACTCAGACTCTCGGTCCTCAACTCCCCAGCCCTGGCCACTGTTTTTCACTGCAACTTTTTAGCTATTGTCACCAAGTCTTCTTGTAGTGGACATCACATTTTTGAAGACAAGTACACAGTGGAGAGTTTTCATTGCTGTCACATTAAATGGAAACACCACTCTCATGAGACATGATTTAAGTTCTCTTTGGGAGTCACACATAGCCACTCAGATTCCAGAAAGCACAAAAATTCCCCGAGGTCCTTTACCTCCACTGCATTTTTATCCTCAGTGTGCATTTTGTTTGTTATAAGAAACAAGAGAGGGAGCAACAAGGTATTGGTACACACTACAGCTGTATTTATTTTCCATTCTAGGCTTCAAGGCAAAATCCCCTTAATCATCTTAATTTTTTCAAAGTTACATTTGTTGTGTGTGTAGAACTAACACCATTAGGCTTGGGATCAAGCACATGCAGAGCCCTTGCTGGCTACCTTAGTCATCATCTTTTCTTTTTTTCAAGACAGGGTTTCTCTGTGTATCCCTGGCTGTCCTGGAACTCCCTCTGTTGATCAGGCTGGTCCCAAACAGAGAGATCTACCAGCCTCTAGCTCCTGCATGCTCGGATTAAAGGAGTGTGCCACTATTGCCTTCTAATCCCTGTTCCTAAACTACATTTTAAGGGATGGCCCAACTTGACCAGGGATAGGAAGCAGCCTGTCTTTGGGAGGATAAGATGTAAAAGAATATTGCCTTACCTAGACTGGATGAGAAGCAAGGACTTTAGTGCAGTTCCTAACCAGGAATCCGTTAGCACTTCGATCTCTGCTCTAAGTCTCTGCAGTGCTTCCTTCCTCTGGGGGCTGAGGAGGCCTTTTAGACAAAAGCAGACACATGTTATCTGACAGCATTAACTTGCTAGTCAATTTGCTAGTCAGCTCAATGGGATCTGGAATCACCATGGAAACAAATCTCTGGTCATGTCAGTGAGGTATCACCAAAATTAGGTTACTGAGGTGGGAAGACCCTCCCTAAATGTAGGTGGGCTGGGGTCCTGGACAGAATACAACAGAAAGCAGTTGAGCACAAGTATACGCTTCGCTGTTTCCTAACTGAACTGAATGTGACTAGCTGCCCTCTCTTCTTGCCACTGGAGCTTCTGGAACTGGGAAGCAGAATAACCCTTCCTTAAGCTGCTTTTGTCAGCTGCTGTGCTGGAGACAAGTAGCCAGTATGTGTGTTATACAAAGAACCAACTCCCATGAGATTATCCATTTCCATGTTCTAGAGAACTCTGAGAACTGTGCTACTCAAATGTGACTCCTCACTAATACATGTTCTTTCCTATGGGCACACAATAACAAGGTCAGCTGACATAACCATCAGTTAGACATTAAACGCATACGCCATATGCCTGGCTCATCCCACTTTCTGTATGTTCTCAGAAGTAGGCTCAGGAGATTCGCAGTGGGCTGTATCATTTTCTCCAGGAAACAAGGTCTATTCAGTAGGCAGGAAAAGAGCAGAGACATAGGTTTTGGGGGAGAGGGGATCTGAAAAAAGAAATTAGGCTCCTGAGATCTAGAAGCCCACTACTCTGTATGATATCAGAGGCCGTCACAACCTTCTGATGACCGACTGAACTTCAAAGCCCTCTCTCTGCTTTTAGCCACAGCCTGGGGCGATATGGAAGGACATTCTCCTGTGCAATCTATACAAGCCCTAAACTTCATGCAGTACTGCATGCAGTTTTTTTCAGGGTAATAGCTCATAGTTTAAATTTTTTTTTCCTTTTTTGTTTTGTTTTGTTTGTTTTTCAAGACAGGGTTTCTCTGTGTAAGAGCCCTAGGTGTCCTGGAACTCTCTCTGTAGACCAGGCTGGCCTTGAACTCATAGAGATCCGCTTGCCTCTGTCCTGCCCACCTTCCCCCCAGTGCTGGATTAAAGGCGTGGGCCACCATTGCCTGGCTTAAATATTCTCTTATAAGAGCACATCACTAGTAAAGGACTGACCTAAAGTCAGGGAATGTGCCCAGTCTACTAACTTGTTGTGTGACTGTGTTGTGCTACGCCTGCCCCTATGATGGATGTTAACTTCTCAACTGTCAAATGAGGTATTAAGAGCAGATTTCTAATATCTCTTCCATTTTGAACAATCCATGACTAAATAGTTGTGAATAACACTACCACCTACATTATTTCTAGGCAGATAAAATTTCCAAGGCCTTTCATATTACAGCACATGGACACTACCACTACAACCCTGGTCTATTTCCCAGCCAGTATAGTAACTATTTGACTTGCCATGATGGGTATAGGTATCTGCTATTCAAACTGTGGCAGTCTACTAATAAGTACCAACAGTGGTTGTAACTCAAGAATAATAAAAAACATTGCATCAAATGTAATATACTGAGGTAGGTATGGTGGGGGGCATGTCTAGCATTCCAGTACTTGGGAGCAAGTTCAAGGATGGGCTGGGTTTCCTAAGAAGACTGTCTCAACAACCAAGCAACCAATAATCTATAGAATGCATTATGGTTTAGATTTTACCTACTCCCCAAAAACTAATGTAATGAAGGCTTGTCCTCACTGAAGGTGCTTTAATGTGATACTAGGAACCAAGCTACCTTCTCATCCTCCTCCCTCTCTCTCTGCTGCAATGAGGTAATCAGCCTCTCCCTGTCATGATATTCTAGTTTGCCACAAGCCCAAGATAACCAGGCCAAATGACCAATTAAATACATAAATAATAAATCTTTCTTCCTGTTAAACTGATCATGTCAGGTATTTTGTCACAGCAATGAAGTTGACTAACAACACATTTTCTTTAAAAAGATAGTTGTCTTAAAAAATAGCGTAATTGTCCAAAGCTACGTTAAGAGGAATTAGGAATGTAGAGCTTCTACTGAAATTCCCCATTCTAATAGCCTTCAGTGGTGCAGAGCCTCAATTATCATCTCCCACTCTTTTTTTAAATTTAAAAATTTTTAATTTTGCTGGGCGGTGGTGGCCCATGCCTTTAATCCCAGCACTCAGAAGGCAGTTCGAGACCAGCCTGGTCTACAAGAGCTAGTTCCAGGACAGCCTCCAAAGCCACCCTGTCTCCACACCCTCCCCCCCCAAAAAATCAATTTGATTTGTATGTTTTCTTTGCATGTATGTGTATGTATAAAATGCATGCCTAGTGTCCAAAGAGGTTAGAAGAGGACATCAGATCCATTGGAACTGGAGTTACAGATGGTTGAGAGCACTGTGTGGGTGCTGGAGACTTAACCTGGATCCTTTGCAAGAGTAGTCAGCACTCTTAACTGCTGAGTCATTTTCTAACCCTCGCACCCCATTTTAATGGCTATCAGTGGTATAGAGCCTCTACTATCATCTTTCATTCTAATGGCCATCAGTGGTGTCGATTCTCCAAAGGGTTTCAAGTATATTTGTTTTTGTTTTGTTTTTTTAAATACAGAATTACCATGGCATAAATTCCTAAGAGTTGCAAGGGGGTTTAAGGCACTATTAGAAAGGAATGCAGGAAAGCATTAAGAACAGGTTCAGATGGGCTGTCCACACATTACCTCCCACATTGCTTTTATGCTTGTCGTAGATTTCTCTCACTTTTCGATAGCGGAAGGCCAGCTTCCTCATCCAGTCCACACCACCCTGAACGCCAACAGATGAACCGTGGCCACCACTGCCTCCTGAACCACTGAAACCATCTGTTGAGAAACTATAGTTGCTGCAAAGGGAGAGGATAATGAAAATTAAAATCCATAACTAGAGAGTTTGAGGCTAAATGTTACCTGAGATTCTGTGGCTGTTCATTGTATCTAATAAACAAAGGTAATGCTTTAACAATCTTCTCATAGATACTTGTTGTTAGTTTTGTTGTTGTTGTTTTTGAGAAAAAGCTTCATGGAGCCTAGGCTGGCTTTAACTTCACTAGGAAGCTGAGGCTGAACCTGCACTCCTGATCCTCCTGTCTCTACCGCCCAAAGGCTAGAACAGGTGTGTACCATCATGCAAGTCCAGCCTTTCCTGACAGTGACCACTGAGAGGAAAAGAGCCTAAGCACCAGCACCCCATAGAGGCTGACTTGTGATACAACATTGTCTTCAATAGTGACAGAAAAAGCAGATTTTACAACAATGTAAAAAGAGAAATAGAAGCGGCCATGGTGGCTCACATCCATAATTCCAGCATTTGGGAAACCGAGTTTAGAGGATCATAAATGTAAGGTCAGATGGGCTACATAACAAGTTCCAGAGCAGCATGAACTAGACTTCTTTCAAAAAACCAGACATGTCAAAAACAGAGTTCAATACATTAAGTGTAAGGCTTTATACTAAATAAAGCTGCCAAGAAGCCAGAAAGGAGTGGCACATTGTATCAGGCTTTTTCTTTTTGGCCACTAATCAGCTCCCAAATCATGACACAGGAACTTACTAGTTTTGAATGCCTGGCTAGCTTAATTGGTAGAGCGTGAGACTATTAATCTCCAGGTTATAAGTTCGAGCCTCATGATCAGCACCAAAATCTATGAGGCCTTTTCTTTTTGGTCACCAAAAAATTCCCAAATCATGACATAGAGAATTGTTATTAGTTTTGATTGCTTGGGCTCGCTTAGACAAGTTTCTGGCTAGCTCTTTTAATTTAAATTAACACGCTTCTCTTTATCTGCCTCTTGCCTCAGGGCTTATTACCTTCCTTACTTCTGTATATCTTACTTTCACTGCTTTTCTATGTCTGTCTGACCTGTTCTCCTCCTTTTGTTCCTCCTTATTCTTTCCCTCAAGCCTAGATTTCTTCTCTATTTTCTCGGCCTGCTAACCCCACCTATTTCTTGCCTATTGGCTGTTCAGTTTTTTATTAGACCAGTCAGGTGGCTTGGGCAGGCAAGGTGGAAACAAAGGCAACACATCTTTTTATAATTAAACAAATACAGCATAAACAAAAGTAACCACGTTTACACACCTGAAGTAATATTCTGCAGCATAAACAAATGTAACACACCTTAGCCTAGTTAAAATAATATTCTACAACAGCACATGCCTTTAATCCCAGCAAGAGGCAGGTGCATCTGAGTTCCAGGACAGACTGGTCTATAGAGCTAGTTCTAGGACAACCACGCTACACAGAGAAACCCTGTCTTGTGAAAGAAAAAACAAACAAACAAACAAACAACATAGAAGAAATGCTTAAATTTAGGGAAGAATATTTTACCTATGAAAAGAGATAAAACATTATAAAAATTAACATGAAAAGATAGGATAGTCTTTTCTTCTAAAGTTTTTAAATGTTTGGATACATTTTAGTCAAGATCACTAGGCCAGGGCCATTGAAATGGCTCAGTGAGTAAATGTGCTTTCCACAGAAACCTAGTGACCCAATTCAATTCTCACACACCAAGTAAAGGTAGAAGGAGAGAACTGAGTCCACAAAATTCTCTCCAACCTCCACAAGCATGCATCTATACATGTAATGATAAGAAATAATACATATTTTTAAAAAGATCGATTGGCCAGAAGAAACAGTAGCCAACAGAAGAATGAGGAGACTGAACTGCCAATGGGACTGCCCTGGTTTAGTTTTCACTGCAATGCAACAGCTAAGACTATTATTGTTCATATAGTTTTTCCTGACACCACTCCACACTTACTGGGCAAAATTCCTGAAGCTTATGTGTAACTAGGGCTGCCCAGTCTAGAAGCATGCTTTCCCCTGACAGAAAATCTATGTAAAGTAGCAGCAAGCAGTATACTCTCCACTTCGAGATGCTGGTTCATCATCCAGTATCATTACCTGGTAATTCTTGAGGTCTTGGCCAAATGCTACACCACTGAGGACTCTCTAACGGTGTTTGTACCTGCTCACTTTACAGATGAGTACCACTTTACTTCCTTCTCTGCTCCCCATTTTCTATCACTGCCTCACCATATGTCATGGCCTCTGACTCTTCTAACAGTAGACAGTGAGCATTTTCATCTTTCTCTTCCTCTGAACTCAGTGTTTTGCATGGTGTACTGATGTTCAAGGCATCTCTGTGTTTACCACACCTCAAATCCTGGCCATTGTCATCAGAAGCCACATCTTCCACATGCACTTGGTCACACTCCTGTTAAAAGACAAAATGCACTATTTCATTCGAGAGAACAGAAGTGCTATCACTACCACGGCAAACTATAAAAGGACTACATATAATGGCAGGATGATGAAAAAGTTTATAGTCTCTCTGGCATGTGGGCCAAGTACTTTAGGACCTGGCACATAGCAGACAGTCTTTATAAAACCTGTTCCATCACTCAATTCTGCTCTTATCACAACAGCTCATTTCTCCAAGTGAAGGGAACACCACGACACCTCTCACACTGTCCAGTGCCTGTATATTCTCTATTAGATTGAAAATTCTACTATAATAGGCTGCAGGTCTCAGATCTTATATTTCCTTTGCATCATTTAAGATTTACTTTTGGGCTTGAACTCAGATCTGCCTGCCTCTGCCTTTAAAGTGATAGGATTAAAGGCATGTACCACCACAGCCCATCTGATTTACTTTGTTTTTATTTATGTTTGTGTGTGTGTGTGTGTGTGTGTGTGTGTGTGTGTCTGTAAATGTTTAAGTGCCAGCTACTGATAGAGGCAAGGGTGTATGTGTGTCAGATTTCCTAGGTCTAGGTGCTGGGAACTGAGCATAGGTCCTCAAAAAAGCAGTAAATGCTCTTAATCACTGAGCCATGATTCCAGCCCTCATTGCACCATCTTAGTCTAATCCAATGTCCTTATGTAGTATGTATTCAATTGATTTTTCTTTAGGACAGGGTTTCTCTAGGTAACCAGGTCTGTCCTGGAACTCAATCTGTATATCAAGCTGGCCTCAATCTCAGAGATCTGTCTGCCTCAACTTCCCAAGTGCTGGGATTAAGGGCTTGCACACCACTGCCTGGAGTGTATACAATTAGTTTTTGTAGATAAAACAGATGCTGGTAAAGTATGATATCATAAGAGAATTGACTGCTCTTCCAGAGGTTCTGAGTTCAATTTCCAGCAACCATGTGGTGTCTTACAACCATTTATAATGAGACCTGATCACCTCTTCTGGCATGCAGGCATACATGCAGATAGAGCATATTAAATACACAAATCTTAAAAACAAACAAAACAAAAACAGAACAGTTGGAACAGAAATGCCTAACAAGCCATCTTAGTCAGTGCTTAGATGTAGAACTTGCATCCTAACGGGAAGTGAAATTTTCTCAGGACCACACAACTGCTAAAGGTACCAACTGCCTAACTGGCTGCTGTTTTCCCTGACACCACTAAGGCATCTGAACCAGAATCCTCTGGGGAAGGTTTAAAAATGCATATTCTTGGGTTCATGACAGACCTACTCTAACTTCTGGAATCAAAGTCCTAGAATCTCCAGTTTTAAGACACTCCCTAGGGGATTCTTATGCCCCCTAAGGTTGAGAACTACTGACCTGAGGGGCAGGAACACATTCAGGTCAAATTCTTCCAGAACTTTCAGTCCTGAGTGCGGACTATGTCTAGAAAATCATTACAAATACAATTTGGGAATAATTACTGGCACAGAGTAGGTTTTCAACTAATGCTTACTGGCTAAAAACTATGCTGTCTCAATCTGTCAACAAGTGACATTGAGGGCAAATTAAAGCATTGCAGAGCTGAGGTACAACCACCAGAATTAGAGCCACAGTCATCTGGTTTGCTGGAGAACAAGGCTTACTTTGTGTTTGTACTTTCATATCACTAGGTTTTTTTTTTTTTTTGAGACAGGGCTTCCCTGTGTAGCTTTGGAGCCTGTTCTGGGGAGGGAGGGAGGGAGGGAGGGAGGGAGGGAGGGAGGGAGGGAGGGAGAAAGAGAGAGAGAGAGAGAGAGAGAGAGAGAGAGAGATCCAGCTACCTCTGGGAGGGAGGGAGGGAGGGAGGGAGGAATGGAGGGAGGGAGGGAGAGAGAGAGAGAGACAGAGATCTGGCTGCCTCTGCCTCCCACAGTGCTGGTATTAAAGGCATGTGCCACCACTGCCTGGCAGAGACAGGTCTTAAACCCATGATCTTCCTACCTCAGCCTCCTAACTGCTATGGTTATAGGTATAGGTGTGTCACCAGACATGCCTCAGAGGGCAGTTCTGAGAAACTCACACACTTTGTTTCCTAGTGCCACTCTATTAACTTCTATGCTTAAAAATCTATGTTAAAAACATCTTTTAAACTCTTTCAACAAACTTGGTAGAGTGGTTGCCTAACACAAACCCCTGTGTTCATCCCCTGGCACTGCATAAACTCCTGCATGGTGACACACCTGTAATTCCAACATACAGGAATGGCAAGAGGATCACAAATTCAAGGTCATCTTCAGCTACATTGTGAGTTTGAGGCTGGTCTGGTCTATATGGGACCCCCTGTCCCAAAACAAGATGAAACAAAACATGGTATCTACAACTCTTCTAAAAAACAAAACAAAATCAACTAAATCAGCACCATCAAGATCTGGTGATAAGAGTGAAATGACAGACTCTAGATATCCCCTATGTGGAAGGATTTGGCAATAGGGTGGGAGGGTGGGGGGAAGAGGTGTGCGGGAGGAAGGGAGGGAGAGGGAACTGGGATTGACATGTAAAACAAGCTATTTAAAATTAAAATAAAAAATTAACCTTAAAATGCAAAAAAAAAAATCTGGTGATAAACATGACACTGTTCTTCCAAGAGACACCCGCCTATGGTGTTCTGTTAGCAAAACCTCTCCACCCCTTCTTATCTAATGCCCCACCTTCTAAATACAAGTCAGGCACTAACAGAGAACAAAACACTTCACAGAAGCAGAAAAACAATTTAAACCACTTACCTCTAAGTCATTGAAAAATAGATGAGTATCAGCCACTTCAAAAATCATTTCTTCCATTGTTAAACCTGAGCCAATTACTACTGTTGGGTCCTGGGTAAAAAAAAAAAAGGAATGAGAACAGTGCTTGATGCAATACTCACAGCACTGGTTCTAACTTTCAGATATTTCAAAACTACTCTAAGCCCAGTAAACACACCACCAGTCACATGGTATTTCAAATCTTACTGATGTAACTTCACTCACATTTATAAGAATTTGGAATTCCAGAATATAAAGGCTATGGACAGTTACTAATAAAAATGTCAACATTTCAGTTTTAGAACCAGTATTTTCATAGTTGGGAAATTATAACTATAACTAAAATAATGCTACTGTGATGTGCACGATCCTTTTTCTGCTCCTATGACATGAGGATACCGGACATCTAACAGTCCTACCAGCCAGAAAGTAAAGAAGACCAGAGTCAAAGTATTTGCAGGGCAACAATGCAGCTTGCTTTAAAATGAAACATCCATCTTCACTTAGAGGGTAAGTGTTTTCCTAGGATTTATGGGTGTAGTTTTGGAGCTTCTATTAGCTGGTCAGGCTGTACAAAGTACTCACAGAAGAGATTCCTGGCAACCCAAAAAAACTGGAAGTAGCAAGATAGCAAACAATTATTTTTCTAACTTATTTATTTCTAGAAATGAAGAAACATGAACCTGGAGATGATGTGTGGAGAAACACAGTTCTACACTCAGGAGGCTGAGGCAGGAAGGCTGGGTTCAAAGATAGCCAAGACCCTGTCTCAAGAGAAAGAAATACCCAGAGCTTTCAGTACTGCTCCTACATCAAGTGTCTAGCTAAACCACCAAATCTACCTAGTTATGGAGCCTGCCTGGCACAAGTCATATAGTCAAGTTTTATATGTGGGAAATTCAAAGCCAACATGGTAGGACTAGGAATATAGTTCACTTCTACAGCACTTGCCTAGCATTTGTGAGGGGCCCTGGGTTTGAGCCCTAATACTATTTTTTTGTTTTATTTTTAACTTTTATATATATGGGTGTTTGGCCTGCATGTATTATTTCTTTGCATCACAGGCATACAGTGTCAGCAGAGGCCAGAGAAGAGAGTACTGGATCCCCTGTAGCTGGAGTTACAGATGTTGTAATCTGTCATGTGCAATAACTAAGCCTTCTGGAGCCCCAATCCCTAATACTGATACATACATACATACATATACATATACATATACATATACATATACATATACACATATATATATATGGATTTTCTACCATGGTAGTTGGGAGAGCTAGAATGACTGCTTATGTTGCCAGAGGAGGGATGGACAGTTACAACAAAAGACTTGAATTACCTTTCCATACTTCTGAGCATAGGATCCAGTAAGAAGGGAATGAAATATGATGATGGTTTCATCCAAGTCCCAGAGAAATACCCGCTGGGGGGGAAGACAAAAAAATGAGTTATCTGTCAATCACAGTGGAATAAACGAGAAACCAAAAATAAAATAAAAAATAAATAATCTACAAATATGTGGGAGTTTTATAACACAATTTTAGATAATCAATGACCCAAAAAAGAAATCTAAACAAAGTTAGAGATGAATGGCAGTAACTAATATATTGTAAATAAAAACATTGAGGAAATGAAAACAAATACAACATATTAAAAATTATGAGACACAGTGAGAGTAATGATGAAAGGGAAATTTTAACTGTAAGTTCATACATTAAAAAAGAAAGAAGTAGCTGTCATGGAAGCATGCCTTTAATTCCAGCACTGGAGAAGCAGAGGTAGGGGGGATCTCTGTGAGTTTGAGGCCATCTGGACTTACAAAGAGAAATCCAGGCTAGCCAGGAATACCCAGAAAGACCCTGTATCCAAAAAAAAAAAAAAAAAAAAAAAAAAAGCAGCCAGCATGGATGCATGCCTATAATCCCCAAACTGGGGAAACAGAGACAGGGATCATTAATTGCTGAGATCAATCTAGGCTACACAGGAAGAACCCATAACAAAGGGAAGAAGGCAAAGAAAGCAGAAAGCCTCAGGGAAGACTTTATGTTTTACAGGTCTAAGGCTCTTGGTTCAATTCCCAGTCCAAGAAGAAGAAAAATCTCAAGTTGTAGCCATACCATACTATACATTCAAGGACTCTTTAGACAAGATGGGCAAACTAAGGCTATTAAAAGGGAGGAAATAATAAAGTAGAAAGAACCAAAAGAGAGAATAGATTAATTGAAAAAAGCCAATGATAGCAACAGTGGGTTCTTTGAAAACATCAACAGAACTGACATTTACTAAGACTGATAAAGGAAAGACAGAGTCTCAAATTACTAAGACCAAAAATGCAAGTGAGGACAATGTGACGGACTTCATAGAAACAAATGGACAGTTGTACGCCAACAAGTTGAATAAGCAGGTGAAATATTTTAATTCCTAAGAAACACACGATACAATCTAAATTGACTTGAAAAAAAGCAGAAATTTTGGTAAAACCTGCCACTAATAAGGAGAAGAAGTAATAATTGAAAACACTAAAAAAAAAAAAAAAAAAAACTCAAGACCCACTGGCCTCACTTGTGAATTACAGCAGACATTTAAGTAAGAATTAACATCATTCTTCCTACATTTTTCCATAGACACACTGAAAAGGAAGGAACACTTTCTAATTCATATAATGAAGCCAGCTTTACTAAGACCAGACAAGATCAGAGCATTGTGGAAAACAACAGCCCTTATGAAAAACTGAACAGATCTCAACCAAATAGCAGCAAGCCAATTCCTCAACATATAAATAAGTATATGTGGTGATAATTGTTTATGATTTAATAAAGCTACTGCAAAGCTAGCTACAGCCAGAGTCAGGCAGTGGTCTCAGGAGACAGAGACAGATCTCTGTTATTTCAAGGTCACACTGAGTTACACAAAATTGATCTAGTCTAAAAGAGAAACAGCTCATACAAAGGTGATCTCAGAACTTGGGTTCACACAGTCTTTAATCCAAGCACCAGGGAGGTGGAGACAGGAATGATATGGCTGGGCAAAGAGAGGTTTATAAGGAAGAAGCAATTAGTCTCCAGCCATGCTGAGGGGAGACAGAGGTCCAGGACTTCAGTCTGAGGCTTGGTGGAGAGCAGTGCAGTCTGCATTGCACTCTGAGGATTCCTGGAGACAGGATCAACCAATTCAGCCTGAGGAAGAGGTAAGAGCTAGTGGCCGGCTGCTTTGCTTCTCTGATCTTTCAGCTTGAACCCCAATATCGGCCTCTGGGTCTTTTATTATTCATAATACAACTATATATCATGATTGAGTGGGATCTGTTCTTGGAATGTAAGGATGGTTCACTCAATACATAAAATTAATCAATGCAAAATAACAAGAGGGAAAACACATAATAATCTCAATTGATATAGAAAATGAATCTGACAAAAGCCCAGTGCCTTTTCGTAATATATTTTTAAAAAATCAATAGGCTGAGAGTATAAGATAATCTCTTAAATACATTAAAATAAAACCTGATGTTTTAATGCAATGGGTGATTTGAAAACATATTAAAAATCAATCCCATTAGCCGGGCGTTGGTGGCGCACGCCTTTAATCCCAGCACTCGGGAGGCAGAGGCAGGCGGATCTCTGTGAGTTCGAGACCAGCCTGGACTACCAAGTGAGTTCCAGGACAGCCTCCAAAGCCACAGAGAAACCCTGTCTCGAAAAACCAAAAAAAAAAAAAAATCAATCCCATTGACGGGCGTTGGTGGCGCACACCTTTAATCCCAGCACTCGGGAGGCAGAGGCAGGTGGATCTCTGTGAGTTCGAGGCCAGCCTGGTCTACAAGAGCTAGTTCCAGGACAGCCTCCAAAAGCCTCGGGGAAACCCTGCCTCAAAAATCAAGAAAAAAAAAATCAATCCCATCAAAAATAATACTCAGGAGTCATTTAACCAATTAAACAAAAGATTTAATACACTGAGAACCCTAAAATACTGCTGAGAATGCAAAAACATAAATATAAATATTCATAGAGTGGAAAACAATATTGCTAAAATGGCAACCCTCAAGCCAGTGTACAAACTGATTCACATCCACATCTCCAGTGTTTTCACTTAAGCCTCTTTCCTTAGGTTTATTTTAGGTGTGTGGCTCTTTCGCCTGCATGTACATGAGCACTACAAGCATGCCTGGTATTCTTGGAGGTCAGCAGAGACATCTGGTCTCCTGGAACTGAAGTTATGGACACCTGTGAGCCACTATGTGGGTGCTGGGACCCAAGCCTTGGTTCTCTGTAAGAGCAACAAGTACCCTTGACTCCTAGCCCACCTCTCCAGTCCCTCCACAGTGCATGATAAAGTTAAACTCAAGTTAAAATAGTGCTTACATGAGCATGACCTTAATTACTACAAATTTTTAAAAAATCTTCAAAATTTGAGGTGAAAAAAAGTTTAAAAATTCATAGGGAATCTCCAAAGAGCCAAAACCACTCTGAGAATGGACAAAGCAGAGGAGTCATGCATTTTAATTTCAAAACACTATAAAGGTCATGGAACAATGTTCAATAGCATTAGTCACTAGGGAAATATAAAGAACTACAGTGAGATGCTATTTTACACCAACAGGTAGCTTCCATTTAAAAGGGGGGTATATCACTGTGAGTTCCAGACATGCCTAATTTACATGATAAGTTCCAGGACAGCCAGAGCTATGAGGGGAACCCTTGTCTCACCACCACCTAAAATATAATTTATTCACATTAGCCTAAAAGCAAAAGTGCATACATAATGGAGTATCAATCATCCATTGAAGAAATGAAATTATGATCCATGCTGCAACACAGATAGATCCCAAAAGCATTACACTAATGAAATGAGCCTGACAAAAGAAAACACATACTGTATGTTCACATTTAGACATGTTAATGACCAGGCAAATTCACAGTAGCAGAAAGTAGCACAGTTGTTGCCATAGGCTAGGAAAGAATATGGGGAGTTACTATTTAATAGGTACTAAGTTGTTTAGGATTAAGACAAGGTTCTGAACAAGGGGCAGAATGTTTCATCCCTGTCATCTCAGCACTTAGGAGCAGGATTGCCCAGGAGTTCAAGGCAAGAGCAAGACTGACTCAATCAAAGAAAAATGCTGTGGAATGACCCTTCCACATACTGTGAGTATGTACTGCTCTCATTGGTTGATAATAAAAACTAAATTGGCCTAAAGCCAGGCAGAATAAAGCTAGGCAGGAAAGCCAATCAAAGAAAGATACAGGGAAAAAGGGATGGGTGGAGACTTGAGCCAGCCGCCCAAGAAGCAAAATACCAGAGGGTCAGTGAAGTCATGGCCATGTGTCAATACATAGATTAATAGAAATGGGTTAATTATCAATTAATTATTGTTGTTGTTTTGTTTTGTTTTTTCGAGACAGGGTTTCTCTGTGGCTTTGGAGGCTGTCCTAGAACTAGCTCTTGTAGACCAGGCTGGTCTCAAACTCAAGAGATCCACCTGTCTATGCCTTCTGAGTACTGGGATTAAGGCGTGCGCCACCACCACCCAGCTGGTACAAACTTAAAAAAAAAGAAAAAAAAAAAAAGAGTTGTTAGTTTTTCCTAAGAATGGTATCAGGACTTTAGTTTCCCTATTTCTTGCTGTGTTTGCTCCCCAGAAATGAAGAGGGAGAGAGATTCTATATACAGCTTCAATTTACCTGTGTCAAAGAGCACATTTAAGTTTATCTCTTTGCTTTAATTTACCATATCAAAGAAAAATTAAAACCACACAAAAGGTAATGTAAAAACTCTAACATCAGACTTCTGTATGTTTTTCTATTCTTTCCAACCATAATCTATGTCCACACTGAGTCCCCACTGTGCTCACGGCACAGGCGTGGCTCATCATCCACACTAAGTCCTCACAGTGCTCACAGCACTAAGATGCAAGTATTCTTCCTGTCCTCTGAATGTAGAGAACAGTTTGTTCTTTCTATTAAAGTTACCCTGAATCAGAAAAGGGTTTTCAGTGGTTTGGTGAAAACAGCTAGAAGGGATATAAAAGTTAAGTTGTGCACATAGAGGGATTTTCTTTTACTTATGTTTTTCTCTTGGCTAATTAATTCAAGTGGACATAACACACAATAACATTATCTCTGCAAATGAGACGTGCACTTGACAGGAAGTAAGGAAAACAGAATAGGTAACTCCAGTGAGTTTCTTCACATACTTCTAATTCGCTGTCCTGGGAGGAACCGGCATCAGCTTTCCTCTTGCCCCGGTTCTTGACAGTCATATTCTTCCTGGACTGATCATCAGCATCTTTATTTGCTGTACTTTGGGACAAAGATGGGCTTGTAGATGAATCTGTCAAAAGGAAAGATACAAATGTCAGCAGTCACAGGCTATGAGAACCACAGTCAGGAGAGGGGTGAGCATGAGGAGCAATAAACAAACAAACAAAACAGGGTTTAAAAATAAAGGAAAATGGGAAGAGAGAGAAGCTTCATAGACCACAATCTGGCTGGGAGCCTGAAGCAACCAAAACTGCCTACAGAGACAGTATCTGCCAAAATCAGTGGTTCAACCTTTTTAATGCTGTGGCCCTTTAATATACTTCCTCATGTTGTGGTGATCCCCCAACCAAAAAATTATTTTCACTGTTACTTTATAACTGTAACTTTGTTACTTTTATGAATATTAAAATTAAATACCCATGTTTTCCGATGGTCTTAGGCGACCCCTGTGAGGGTCACTGGATAACACCAAGGGGTTATGACTGACATGTTGAGAATCACTGGCCTTCAGAGACAGTATCTGACTTCCTAAAGGCATCCCCCAAAGGACAGTGAACAACAAATTATGCCTACTTATGGCCAGAGTTTAATTGTACTAACACCCCTCTCTCATCCTTAAAGCTAACAATGCACCTTATGAAAAGCACATTACAATTTCCTCTATAAAGAAAATGCTCTTGACTGAAAGATGGCTTAGATGGTAAGAGCACTTGTTCCTTTTGAGGAGACTCGGGTTTAGTTCCCAGCCCTCACCTGTAACTCAGAGCCACCTGTAACTCCAGTTTCAGGGAGCCCAAAGCCCTCTTCTGACCTTTGAGGGCAGCAGAAAAGTTCTGGTATACATACATTATATGCACACAAAAACACACACACAAATAAGATAAATAGATCTAAAAGAAAATTTAAAGAGAAATCAGCTTTACAATTTTTTTTTTGGTGTTTCGAGACAGGGTTTCCCTGTGGATTTGGAGGCTGTCCTGGAACTCGCTTGGTAGACCAGGCTGGTCTCGAACTCACAGTGATCCGCCTGCCTCTGCCTCCCGAGTGCTGGGATTAAAGGCGTGTGCTACCAACGCCTGGCCCAGCTTTACAATTTTTAAAAAATATTATGCTATTTTATATGTATGAGTATTTTGCCTGCATGTATGTCTGTGCATCACACATACGCAGTATCCCAGGAGGTTAGAAGAGGACATCAGATCCACCAGAACTACTAGAGTTCCAGACAGTTGTGAGCTTCCATGTGGATGCCTGGAATTGAACCGGGGTCCTCTAGAAGAACAGTCAGTGCTCTTAACTGTGGAGTCATCTCTAGTGCAAAACAGAAGAACTAATCTCTAACCTTTGGGTTTTTTGTTTTGAGATATGGTCTCACTATGTAGCCCAGCCTGGCCTAGAACTCACAGATATCTGACTGCCTTAGTGTCCTAAGTTTAAGTGTCAAAGGTGTTTGCCACCACATCCAGCCTTTTTACTTAAACTTTACTTAAAATTTAAGTTTTGCTTATTTATTTATGTTTTGCTTATTATTTATGTTTATTTATTTACTGTTTTTCAAGACAGGGTTTCTCTGTGTAGCTTTGGAGCCTGTCCTGGAACTGGTTCTGTAGACCAGGCTGGATTCAAAGTCACAGACATCCGCCTGCCTCCTGCCTCCTGAGTGATGGGATTAAAGGTGTGCGCCACCAACGCCCAGCTTGTTTATTCTTTAAACTTTATTATAAATTATATTCTTTGAGCAGTGTAACTTAGACATAAAATCATATCTGCAGCCATTGTAAAGCCACCTAAGTGCAATTCTCCCTTGAGGACTCACAGCTTCAAAGCTGTGTAATCTTTCCCAAGCATTCTAATTCTGACACTCATAAGCAGTGTCTAGCCTTGTGAGTCAAATGTTAGGACTGTTGGGAAAGGACTGTAGCTGTTTTTGAAAACTCCTGCTCTGAGTTCCTAGCAGGAATCTAAGATGCCTGGATTAAAACTGAAGCCCTGCGACCTTCGACAAATACACCCTTAGTCTGAAGAGCCCTGTTGAGTAACACACTCAACAGGGCTCTTCAGACTGGGCGGAGAGTATGGACTAGAAATGCATCTTCTCACTGTTGGCACTTTTCTGTTCTCAGCATCTACAGATATTCTTCCGTTTGTCATCACTGTTTGTAAAGTTTAAACTTGGAAATGGAAACCAATGTCATGGTGAAACCAACTTATCCCAGAACAAAATCATTTTTACCATCACTTGGAAACACTGTTGAATGAAGGAAGTGTCCTTAATCCAGCTTTCTGTACTCACCAGAGGGAAGTCTCTGCGTGGCTGGTGCAGGTACCATAGCACTGGGCTTCTCTGTTTGGTATGTGGTAGCTGCTAATGCAGTATTCTCAGCATCACTGTTAGTCTGGCCTGTGACTCCAAAGCTGGAGCTGGGGTAACAGGACTGGTACTGATTCTGTCCAAGAATAGTATAGGTGGGATAATCCTGTGGACCAAAGGAAGGAAAACATGACTATTATAAGAGGTATTAACACAAGAGGCCTTTTCTTCCCTAATAGCCATAATTATTTTCTTAAAATATTGTCTTATTTATCTACCTACCTAGCAGTCTCAAGAAATCAATGATTTTCAAAATGCAGACACCTGAGTACAGATCCATCATCTAAGTTGACAAGTGAGTTTGGTCAAACACACTTCAGAAGTTAAGTAGCAAAGTGAAAAACTAAAGACACTGGCCTTAGAAGATCAAAAAGAAAAGCTGTGAAAGAAAAGAGCCCACACAGGCCTTCATGGAGGACAGGCAGGAATTCAACAAAAACATTGGACTACTGTGGTGGCATACGAACTCAGCTCAGCAGACAAACAGGAGAAGCAATGCAAATTTGAGGCCTGGATTATGGTGCATCCCAGAACAGCAAAGGGTACACATAATGAGGCCCTGTTTCAAAATAACAACCCATCCACCCAGAATAAAACAACACCCTCTCAGCCCCAAGGTAATTGTGTACTTAAGAAAGAACAGACACAGCAAGAGTAGGACAGTAAGACAAAAAAGATCAATCAGAGAAGGTAAACTGTAACCAAAAAACAGTTGGTGGAGACAGCAATGGTCATAGCAGCTGCTGCAGAGAAAGTCTTGAGCATGTTAAAAACAAAACAAACTTGAATACTGAATATACTACAGTGATCATTTAAGCACACGTAATATAACAGTGATCAAGACCAAATCACAGCTGGGCATGGTGGCATGCACACGCCTTTAATCCCAGTACCCAGGAGGCAGAGACAGGTGAATCTCTCTAAGTTCCAGGCCAGTCTGGTCTACAAAGTGAGTTCTAGGACTGCTAGAGCTACAGAGAAACCCTGTCTCAAAAAACCAAAACCAAAAAAGAAAGAAAGAAAAAAAAAGATCAAATCACAAACAATAAGAGGATGAATGGAGGTAGTACTTATTCACCCACAATATTTGTGTCTTTTAATCGAGTGCCAGGGGTTTGTCTAGGCTCTGGGAACTTGTATAAAAGTGAACAAAAATAGAAAAATAAATCCCTGGCCTTCATCGAGGACACCCTCTAGTGGGGACAGGGTTGGGGCTTGGGGTAAACACATATACCAGGGAGGATTAACAGGGAACAAGACAAAGAGACAGAAGCCAGAGAGCTCCTTGGGCATCCGGCAACAGGACTCAACAGTCTACACTATTCCTGATTGTTTCTTAGATGGGCAAGTTGACCATGGAAAGAAGAGAGGAAGTGAAAGTCAGGTGAATCACACTAAGGAGAATAAACAGGTGGGGCACGGTACCTGGTTTGATATGCTGGCCACAGCCGCTGCTGGAATATTGGCAATTGCAGATGATGTGGATATCAGGCTGGCATTTGTGCTTGAAGCTACAGGATTGAGAGTATTAGGAGATAATTAAAGATCTCATGTAAATGACTTAAAGATAGGGGAAATAATCCGTTTTAACTGAACATATCTTTGAGAAGACAAAGAATACTGGAAGGTGGAGAGATGGCTCAGTGGTGAAGAGTATGGCTGCTCTTTCAAATGACCTGAGTTCAAGCCCCAGCACTTATATGATGACTCACACTCATATACAACTATAGGCCTTTCTTCTAGCCTCTGTGACACCAAACACACATATGCTGCACAGACATAAGACAAAGCATCACATAAATTTCAATAATTTCTTAAAAAGCAAACACTTGTTTTGTTTTTGCATGCCCTATCTCAGTGAGACATGATTAGAATCAAAACACTTGGAATGCTTGCTTCAACTCAAGTCCTCAACCCTTTCTACTCCAGTCCTAGAATGAGGTATATACAATTCTCAGCTCACACTGACACCAGTAAAGTCAGAACCAAGCCAAACCATCCCAGTCTTTTCTACAAACTGAAGAATGATTCCCCTGCAAGTGACCTGATAGTCAGTAGATCTCTAGTGAATCCTAGGCTGTGATATTATTGTTTATGGCCATTTGCCCCATATTACATCTTTCTGGAGTGATATTTATACTTTGGGAAACAGAGTTAGTTCTCCAAATTCTAAAATACTTAGACTGCTATGTCTAAATAATGGGTTATTAATGTGGATCAAAAACACTTCAAGGGTTAGCAAGATGGCTTAGCAGGTAATGGTGCTTGCTGCCAAGACTGATGACCTGAATTAGATTACTGGGACCCACAGAGTGAAAGGAGAGATTTAATTCTCACGAGTTGTCCTCTGACCCTCACATGTGCATCGGGGCATTTGTACATGTGTGTGTGTGCCCCCACACACACATACATACACACACAGACACACACACAAAGAAATTTTAAATAACACTATGATTTGTTATTTAGAAACCTTATCAATAAATCTTCAAAATATCAGGAAATATATCTCATCTTGTCAGGTAAAATTGTATCTATCAGATTAAGTTTTCCATCCTTTTGTAACAGAACCCATCGGTTCTAACCCAAACTTTCATGATAAGCAAATACCACAGGGCTTTCCCCAGGCAGACAGGATAATCATCAGTATTATGAGGCACCAGTTTACACTTTTCTCATGATAAGCAGAGAAACATAGTTCCTGGTGCAGTCATCCACACCCAAAGTGCTCACCACTAGGAAAACCAAACTGACCAGTGACAAAGTCCTCCAACCTCCACTACGGACAGATAGGAGAAAATGCAGCAGGAAGAACACAGCCCAGACCAGAACCAGATTCCTCTCCTTCCAAAGGGCACTGTGCTGAAAGCATCTCTAGACAAGAATGGTCACTGCTCCTATTGCAAGTTCAGCTTGATGAAGAGCTTGGCTAGAGAAGAGTTCAGACAACATCAGGGGTTTGATAATCCCAGTGATCGATAATCACCTGGAATTCCCAACTCCCTGCCTGGTGCTCTTTCCTCACAGTCACAGACAATCAACAGTACTCTACTCCAGGGCGATTACTGGGCTTCTAAGGGCTTCCTTTCCTTAACACAACTAAGTGAAATACATTTAATAACTTACAGATGGTATTTGTTTCTCATCAGTAGTCACTTTCTTCTCTGCTGTGGCTTAATCTATTTTCCTAAGAGGAAGCATCAAACAATAATACACAAGATAGATGACCCCTAAGCAATTTTAATCATTTTGTGGGAAAAGATTTTCTGGTAGTTTCCAGGCTCTGTAAGCAATATATTGTTGTGGAATCTTACTTTAATTATGTAAAGATGTATTGCACACTTGTTTCACCTTGCCTGCCTAAGGCATCTGACTAGTCTAATAAAGAGCTGAATGGCCCAATAGCTAGGCAGAGAGAATAAATAGGAGGATAAATCTAGGCTCGAGAGAGAAGAATGAGAGAAGAGAATGAGGAAAAAGGGACACACCTGGGGCCAGAAGTCAGGCAGCCATCAGCCAGACAATCAAGAAGAAGCAATGAAAGTAAGACACAGAAGAAAAAAAGGTAAAAAGCCCTGAGACAAAAGATAAACAGGTTAATTTAAGTTAAAAGAGCTAGCCAGAAGCCAGCCTAAGCTAGGCTGAGCATTCATAACTAATAATAAATCTCCTTGTCATGATTTAGGAGTTGATTGGTGGTCCAAAAAGAAAAAGCCTAGTACAATATATTATCCTAGGCAGGCCTGAGGCAGAATAGACTGAACAAAAGTGATTTTACATGGGAGAGAAGATGGCTTACTCACCTCTCCCAGCAATCACTTCCAGATCAACTTCCCTTTCCTCAGGTATGGCCCGTCCTCCTCTTTTCTCCTACTGCATTCTCTTATTTACTAATGCCTGGAGACTGGACTCAATTATACCTGGTCAGTATACACACAGGAGAAATGTACTCTGGCAAAGTAGTTTGAGAAACTTAATAATCAGGCAAGCATGGTACACTCATATAAGATGCTAATTGTAGGAGAATTGAAGGATGTACATATTAGCTATGGTCACATCATTTTGTAAAGCTCCTCGTATGGTACATAGATAAGCAATAATGATTCCAAGAACTAAAGTCACTTGGTTCCCAGAGCTAAGTAATTTATTATTATTTTTTTAGATTCTCACCTTCTCTACCCTATCAATCTCTAGTATAGCTAGCCATGGGAGATGTTAATTCATATCTTGAATTTCTTTTCAGTCCTCTTCTCCCTTCTTTTCTACCTAAACTATCCCAGCTGTAAGCTGACCATAAGTTTTGGTTGTTGTACTAGAGACTCTTTGAGGCCTGTGCTATTGATAAGTCAACCATCCTGTTTGTATTTCCTTCTCTCCAACCTTGAACTACAAAATATATGAAGACTGTGAACACTCTGCTCAATTGTTCTGTAAATCTAAAAGTATATTAAAATAAAGTCTGCTGGGGATGGAGAGATGGCTCAGCAAAGAGCACATTCCACTTCGGGGAATCCAATGCCCTCTCCTGGCCTCCATGGGCACCTGTACTCACTTGCAAACTCACACCCAGCTACACAAGGGCCAGAAAGATGGCTCAGTAGGTAAGAGCACTTGCTTTTCTTGCAGAGGACCTGGGTTCTATTCCCAACACCCAGATCATGACTCACAACCTTCTGTAAAACACCGGTTCTAGGGGACCCTACAACCTCGCCTGACCTCTGCTGGAATTAGGCACACATTTGATGCACACACAGACATGTAGGCAAAGCACTAATATATGTAAACAAATCTTTTTTTTTTTAGAAAGTCTGCTAATCAAAGGAAAACTCCTGGTCAAAGACTACTAGGTATTGTCAACAAAATGAGACCCCCCCACGAAGACATCAGGGGAGAGGTGCTAACTATGACAATACCAAGTACTTCAACCCACTAATAATGCCTATATATCATTTTAGTCAAATGTTTTCCTAAAAACTTTTGCTTCAGATTAAATAGTAAAAATGGCCGGGTGGTGGTAGCGTATGCCTTTAATCCCAGCACTAGGCAGGTGGATCTCTGTGAGTTTGAGGCAAGTCTGGTCCACAGAGCTAATTCCAGGACAGCCAAGGCTACAAAAGAAATCCTGTCTCAAAAAAAAAAATTAAAAATGAACAATTCTACTTTATGTCAGAGTGTTAATGAACAATAAATGGAAGAAAAATACAGTTAGACATTTGTTAGTTCCTCAAGTATGGGAGAATTGATACTGACACCACGATTTGAACCCTGGAAGACAAATTACACTCACGCTCTAGAATTAGAATGTTCCACCTCCATCCTGACTTAATTACTTACTTGATGACTATGAATAGTTACTTAGATTCTCTGTGCCTTAGGTTTCCCATCTGAAAAATGGGGTTAATAGTACTTACAGGGTTGTTGTGAAGACAAGTAACACTTGGCCATGGCTGAGAACACAGTAAGTACTCACTATACACCAGCAGTTACTACCAATAGAAAACCAAAGGAAAACAGCAGAATCAAAGGGAAAAATATATATCCAGTACATGACAGGTAAGGACAGCAGTTAATGAAATTCAACAGATACTTTCATAACCATCACAGCAATGATTTCTGGCTTACTCCAAAGTTGATGCCACTTATTTTCCAAGGGAAGAGAAGCTAGTGTCAAATTCAAGGCACAACTACAGAGGAGAGATTTCATACTCCAGTGGGAAGAGAACCCTTACTCCTTCTCTTACTTCATGACCTATGTGTATCCCTAAGAAGGGCATGATTACTTCATTGATTCCAAAAGCCTACAGCTTAGAAAAACACTAATGATAAAATCAGAATTAGAAACGGTGGTGTGTGCTACTCCTCAATGGCCTCGAAAGGCTGGGTTAAGAGGTTCTTTTATTAGGCCCACAGGTTCAGTGTGAGCCTGGGTAATGTCCTTAAGCTTTGTTCCTCCTGGTTGGCTCCTGTCAGGAAGAAAGAAAACAGGGAGGCAGGGATGAAGAAAGGACGAAATATATGAGAGGGGACACTGAAAACTGGAAGTAAGGGTAGTTTAGACATAGGCCTTAAGAGCAAAGTAGGGGCTGGAGTAATGGTTCGGTGGTTAAGAGCACTCACTCACTGCTTTTCCAGAGGACCTGAGGTCTGCTCTTAGCACCCACGTTGGGCAGTTCACAACAGCTTGAAACTCCAGTTCCAGGTTATCTTCTGGTCTCTGCAAGCACCTATGGGTACCTTCATGGACATGCACACACACACACACACTCCCACACTCCCTCCCTCCCTCCCTCCCTCCCTTTCTCTCTCTCTCTCTCTCTCCCTCCCTCCCTCCCTCCCTCCCTCTCTCTCTCTCTCTCTCTCTCTCTCGTGAGCGCTGCGCGCACGCTCAAGCACACATGCAAATACAATTAAATCTTAAAACAAAAACCCCAAACAAAGAATAAAGATCCTACAGAATCAAACAATTCCCAACAAAAAAGAGTTAAAATTAAAAGTCTTTTCCATCAGCAAGTTTCTGCTCTATAGAGGTTTTTGGTGTCTTTATGAAGACTGAAATGTAAAAAGAAGCATGGAGATAGATGAGAAGCCAGGTACATGGACACTGCTTTCCTAGAACAATGATTTGGGAGAATAAGCAATAAAATATCAAAATGCCCTTTTGCCTACTCATCTTGATTATAAAATTCTAACCTTTCCAAAGAATTCAGGAAAGTAAGGTTGTTATTTCACTCTGAATAAAAACAAAATCAACTTTTCGTTTTTTTCTTCTTCAGTGCTGGGGATGGAACTCAGTGCCTCATCCATGCTAGGCAAGCACTCCACCACTAACCTGCACCCTCAGCCTGGTCATCACCTTTTTGAGCAGAAGAAATACTCTCACCAAGAAGCAGTACACAGGGGTGGGTATCACAAAGCCACCAGCAGAAAAGCAGTCCACATCGCACATTCCACTGACAATTCACATAGAAGTCAGCTAAATTTTGACTCAAGGAGTCGCCAACTTACATGTGAAGATGCCACTGAGACCAGAGTAGAACAAAATCAAAAGAAGCTTTCTGTATATCAGCATGCAAAAGAGAAGGCTTCTTCTACTAAGCAGCTCACATTCAAAACCTAAGCTACTTACAAACCACACTTTTGGCTTGGATTTGCCCGACACAAAAACCATGCACAAACGTATGCCATTCCTTTTACTTTAGAAGACGGTGCTCCTGTATCATCCAGTTTGTTTGGATATACGGGCAGATTAAAAAAAAAACGATAAAAATTAAATAACGCACACACACAACCATGCCTATTTACCTTGAATGGGATAAGAATAATGTGCTGGGCTTGGCTGGCTTGTGGTTAACCCTGTAGTGCAGGTAAGAACACTGTGTTGACTTGGAGATGGAGTCTGAATTAAACCACTTTCAGGTTTCATACCTGGCCACAGTGCACCTGAATCAGATAAAGTGGACCAGTTACAAACAACACATGGGGCCGAGGAGCATGGTTATGCTTTAAATACCAGCTGGTAGGTTTAAAGTCGAAAATTTAAAACAAATTTGCTTGTAGGATGCAATTACTAATTCTCCCACTTACACTACAAGCGAATATATTCTCGAAGAATTAGAAGATGGGGTCATGGGAACAAAAACTTTGCTAGTATCTCAACAGTTGGAGCAATTGACCAGGATTCAGAACAGCACCAAACTGGAGTATTTGTCATACAGAAAGACTGATGTTGGTGTACAACGAGAAATTCAAACTGTCAAGGTGGAAGATGGTCTATGTCAATTAAAATTCACTTACCAATGAAATAAGCAAGTTTTCTAAATACTCAAATACATCTTTTTCTCAAACTGATTACTTTATAAACCTTGTTTCCTAGATTATGAAAGACATGCCTGCTTTTTAAAAAAGATTAACAATATTACATAGGCCCTAGATGTGGTTCAGTTGGCAAAGTGTTTGCTTAGCATATGTAAAAGCTCTGGTTTCAATTCCACCACATAAAGTGGGCATGGTGGTGAATGTCTGTAACCCCAGTAAAGGCAAGAGGATCAGAAATTCAATGCCATTCCTGGCTCTATAGCAACTTTAAGGCTATCTTCAGCTACATGAGACCTGTCTCAAAAAACAAAATCCTGAAAACTATAATTTAGCTGAGTGGTGATGCATACCTATAATCTTAGAGCTCAGAAGGCTGACACAGGTGGATTGTGAGATCAAGGCCAGCCTATGCTTCCTGGCAACACACTGTTGCAAAAAAACAAAAACATCTTGAAATATGTAACTTAGAAAAAAAGTTATACATAACTCTATCATCCAAAATTAACTACATCAATGGATTATAGAAGAATTACCCACATATCTCAGGGTGTCCTATCTCTCTGCCTTTCTCTTTGAGAAAGGTCTCTCGATGAACCAAGAGCTAGGCTGACAGCCAGCAGAACCTCATGATCCTTCTGCCACTGTCCCCACCCCCAGTGTGTGGGTTACAGGCACACACACTGCCACCCTTGGTTTTTTACATGGGTGCTTGGGATCAGAATTCAGATCCCCATGCTTGAGGAGCAAGTACTCTTTCCCACAGAACCATCTTCTTAGGCTCTTATTTTATATTTTACATGTAAAAGGTAAGACTCAGTGCTTTGATTCTTGATGGTTTGGCATTATGTATTTTTGTTAGGCAAATTATCATTTACATGTTATTACAACTTCCACATTTATTTTAAGCAATGTGGGTGTACTTCCCAAGTAAGTTTAGACCCTAAAGAATTAGATTTGCGAACATGTTTATTAACACATAATATTAAAGCAACATCTCATCTACAGCAATGCATCAAATAAGAATGTCTTGTTAGCCTTATTACTTAGTATTTCACTTTCTGAGGCAAAGTTTTGCCATGTGGACCAGTCCTCCTGAGTACAGACATTACGGAAATGTGCTATCGTGCCAAGTCAGAAACGCAAAAAATAAATATTAAAGGTTATTATTGGGGCCGGAGATATGACCTAGCAGTGAAGAGTACTTGCTGCTCTTGTAGAGGACCTAGGTTCATTTCCCAGCAACCACATGGTGTTTCTGTAACTCCACTGGGGATCTGAAACTATCTTCTGACCTCCACAGGCACCAAGCATGCAGGTGGGACATATACATATATGAAGGCAAAATACATTCTCATAAAAATAAAATAAATCAACTTAATAAACATTAAAAAAGACCATGAATTACAATGGCTACTGAGTTTCCCATTCTACGGACACACTGCAACTTAACATGTGCTTTTCTAAATGTTTCTAAGTTCTTTTTTTCCCCCCTTTTTGGTTTTTTTTTCCGAGACAGAGTTTCTCTCTGTGTAGCCTTGGCTGTCCTGAAACTCGCTTTGTAGACCAGGCTGGCCTCAAACTCAGAGATTCACTTCTAGAACCAAATCTGATTCAGGAAATGGAATGAACTCTTAATTCGCATAATTAATTCTTCCACCTCACATCAAAGTTCTTTCAAAATAAGCAGATCAGCGCCAGCTCCAACCACTCACTCCTCAGTTCAGCAGACATGAGGCTTTCAGACCCTTTCCTATCCCATCACCCAACTTCCTACACTTCTGGAAAGAATATGAATAAAGACTATCCCTAGCAACTTTTCTAGATTTCTTCTAGTTATTCCCCATTTTTTAAAGAGGACACTTTGATTTCAAGTTGACCTCTGAGATCATCTTTTTGATACAGACCAAAATTTAGGAGACTTTATCAGACCCAGGCTTAAATCTAACCCTAAGTATTTATTAACTTTATGACTTTTGTTGCTGAAAGGGGACAATGCTACTACTTACCACTAAAAATTGCTTTAAGGATTAAATGAGACAATAATATAAAAATGAGAAGTCCTATTCTAACTTGATACAGTGAACAGTTTTTTTTTTTGTTTTTGTTTCTGTTTTTTTTTTTAAGACAGAGTTTTTCTATGTAGTACTGGCTGTCCTGGAACTCATTCTATAGACTAGATTGCCCTGAGTGTTGGGATTAAAGGCATGTGCCACCACTGCCCAGCTATCATAAACATTTAAAACTATAATTATAATGAAAGGTTGCCTATCTATCTATCTATCTATCTATCTATCTATCTATCTATCTTGTTGTTGTTTTTTTTTTTGAGGTATGCTTTCATGGCAATCTTCCTGTCTCCATTTCCTGGGTACTATAATTATAGAAGTAAGTCATTATGGCTGGCTGTAATTATAACGACATTCTCAAAAGTCTACTTATACATGAAACACATTAACAGACTAGTTAACCTGAAAACAGCACTAAGGTAACAAATCTACTAAAACTATGACTTAAAAAAAAGCATTTTCTGCCAGATGGTGGTGGTGCACGTTTTTAATCCCAGAACTCAGGAGGCAGAGGCAACCAGATCTCTATGAGTACGAGGTCAGCATGGCCAATAGAGAAAGTTCTAGGACAGTCGGGACTACACAGTGAAATCCTATTTTAAAAATAAAAATAATAAGAAAAAGAAGCATTTTATATCTAAATATATATTACCAAAGAGAGTCATTCATTAAATTCCAAGAAAATTGTATTTATTTAAATTAGCATTGCACTCATGTGTCTATACCCTCACACACATACATTTGTGGGTATCTCTGTGCAATGTTATGGAATTGGTTCTGTCCTTCCACCTATGTATGAGTTCTAGGGATCAAACTTTGGTTGTCAGACTTGTACTTAAAGAGCCTCTACCTGCTGGGTTATCCTGATGGTCCCAAGAAAATGACTGTTAAAGGCAGGTACCAAGAAAATGATTTTTAAAGACATGGTAAACTAGGCTGGGTATGGTGGCACATGCCTGCTATCCCAGCATCTGGGAGGTGGAGGCAGAAGGATTAGAAGTTAATGGCCAGATTCAAAATACACACGGAATTCAAAGCCAGTCTGACTCAAGTGAGGCCCTGTTTCAAAAAGTCAGACAGACAGCCTGTGTTATAGCTCGGCAGGTGGAAGCACTTACATGCCGGCCTGACAACAGGAGTTTGATTTCCCTAGATTCCACCAGGTGGCAGCAGAGAACCGACTCGCACTTGTAAATGCATCCACAGTCACATGCACACAAAACTCACAGAAAAGATACAGTAATTTTAAGAAATATTTTAAATAGGGGCAAGAAAGATGGCTCAGTGGTTAAGAGTGTTGTGTTACTCAGTCATGAGGACCTGAGTTTGCATCCCAGCACTCAAGTAGGCATGGCTTCAGTATGTGCCTGGTCTCAGGGTTAGGGTGGGCAGGGATAGGAAAACCACTGGGGATTGCTGACTGCCAGCCTACCCCAAAATGCAGGATTCGGGTTCAGGAGAGACTGGGCCACAGAGGGATAAGACAGGTGACAGAAGGGTACTCAGTGACCTGGCCTGAGTGGACTTACAGGCACAAGCACCTGCAGGCACACACATTGCACATAACACACATTGCAAACATCTCGTATACTTCTTTGGAAAAAAAATTCACATAGCATATATATTGTCTGAACCTAAATCTTTCTTTTTTAAGTTAACTTATTTATTATGCATACACATGCCAGATCTCATTTTACACAGTGAGCCACCATGTGGCTGCTGGGAATTGAACTCAGGACCTATGGAAGAACAGCCAGTACTCTTAAACACTGAGTCATCTCTCCAGCACCCACCTAACCTACATATTTTATCAGTAAGTTACACATATTAAAGTCAAATCAAGTCAAAAGAATCAATTATTTTTTCTCTCATTTACTCACACGATAACCTATATAATGTAAATTTCTCTTGCCTCCAAATAAAATAGATTACAGACATTCATCATTACCAATTATTCTTTGTAATATAATACTTCCTTAAAGTTCTCAGAAGAGTGCTATTTAATGCAATGACTATAAAGGACACTGTAATAAAGTACACACAGAGCACCTTGTGAGGTTATTTATCTATTTGTTTTTTTTTTTTTTGAGACAGGTTTCTCTGTGTACACCTAGCTGTCTTGGAACACATTCTGTAAACCAGGCTGGCCTCGAACTCACAGAGATCCACCTGCCTCTGCCTCCCAAGTCCTGAGTTAAAGGTGTGCACCACAACACCTGGCACTAATTTTTTTTTTAAATGCTAAGCACCTACAATATTAGAGCACACTGGGAATGGACGGCTGCAATGGTGAGCAGAACAGATAGGGATCCTCATGGAGCTTAGAGTTAAAGTTAAATAGATGAATTATTACCATCTAGAAACCCATATATGGTGGCACATACCTGTAATTTCAGCAGTTGGGAAGCTGAAGCAGGAGGATTTAGAATTAAAGGTCAGCCTGGCTATAAACACTGACTCAAAAAACAAGACTGAGATAGAGTGCTTGTGTAGTGTGAAAAAGGCTATGTGACAGATCTCCAGCACAGCAAAACAAGAAAGCACACAAATACTCTCAATTCTTTTTAGCATTTACCAAGGAGCCAGAAAACGCTAAGAAGCCTAAAAGTTAGACAACTGTCAGTAACACAAGATACTGGCCAAGAAAGTCAGCAAAATTAGGAGTGGAAAAACTAAAAGCAGGCACATTAAAATGCCCAGCATCTATGGAATAATTTCTTTAGATCAAAAAACAAAAGAACCCTTAGCTTATTTAAAAGAAATCTCAAAGACATAACTTATTTTTTAAAAAAATTTTTTTAGATTTATTTATGTGTATGAGTATTTTGCCTGCATATGTATCTACATGCATGCCTGGTGCCCAAGGAGGTTAGAAGGTGGTATCTGAATCCTCTAAAACTGAAATCACACATCGGGTGTTGGTGGCACACACCTTTAATCCCAGCACTCGAGAGGCAGAGGCAGGCGGATCTCTGTGAGTTCAAGACCAGCCTGGTCTACAAGAGCTAGTTCCAGGACAGCCTCCAAAGTCACAGAGAAACCTTGTGAAAAACAAAAACAAAAACAAAACAAAAAAACTGGAGTCACACAAAGTTGTGAACAGTCAGTACCGGCAACTGAACCTGGATCTTTGGCAAGAGCAATAAGTACTCAACCTCTGAGCCATCTCTACACTGCCCCAAAACATAACTTTTAACATATAGTTAATAGTATTAAAATAATCTTTAAAACTAGGGCTAGAACAGAGGAGCAATAATGCACACTGTACATATATATCAATTTACACATGTGTAGAAAACTTGCCACAGGTATTATTAAATGCTTACCCTCAAACTAACATCCAGTAAATCATTTTGATTTACAGTTTATATCCAAAATATATAAAACCAATGAAAACAACTCCCTATGTACATGGCTTCAGATGTCTTCTGTTCTAAAAGTACCTTGGTTCATCAAAGCAACATCTGATCAGTTTTGGGAAGGAGAGGTAGGGGAGGAGAGAGACAAACCAGGAAAAACAAAAAAACAGAAAATAGCAAAGATAAACAATACATAACAACCTACCATAAATATTTAGACCACATGGTTTTGGCAGAAATCCATCACTTCAAAATATATTTACTATGTTTACTACTTACCTTAGCATGCATGGTACTATGTCCTATATATAGTTAAGTCAAATCAATGGTAATTCCTCAACTTTCCAATGATTCTAAGTTTCTAACTGGGTATGATGGCACACACCTGTAATGCCAGTATTACTAAGGCAGGAGTACTGAAACTTCTAAGCTGTGTACAGCAAGTTCAAGGTCAGCCGGAACAAATGTAGCAAGATTTTTTTTCAAAAAACTAAAGTTTGGGGAACATAATTTAGTGTCAGGGAGGACAATGACACACTACAGGGACACACAGGGACAACCCAAGTCTCAGAGTAAAGACCATAGAAATAGTCAAGTAACTAAATAATTATGAAAAGGTATAAACACAGCTTCAACCACACACTTAATGAGTAAACAGTTTATAAAAAAAATTATGTATCTTCTTCCTTCCTGGTCAGCCTTATTTTCTGAGGAGGAACACAAGTTTCTGACTGGTGGAAACATTCTTAAGAACTGCTCACGATAGGTATCTTACCAAAAGGAGGTAGTCCATATGTTTGGGTTGCCTGAGGGTAGACAGTGTAGGGTTGAGACTGCTGCAGTGTCGGGTACTGAGTCTGCCCAGGGTAAGCGGTTTCCGAAACAGGAACTGAGAGAATATGTGCATAAGGTCTAGGAAAATATAGAAAAGAAAAACTTCCATATGTGGCTCATTTGAGTTAATGAAAATGGGTAACAGTTAATATCACTAAGACAAGGAATCCAGGAATGAGGAGATTAACTTTCCAGGGCAAAATAATTCTTATTATGGTCAGAAAACGTAAGTTTTTCCATTACTCTGTCCAAGGAATAATTTTATGAAAAATTAAATAGTTTCAAACATCTTCCCAGGTTCTACCTACCACCCTACAAATAACTACTACATGCAAGGCCATAAATGAGATGCTTATTTAATCCCCCAAATGAGGATTATTTACTTATACCCTATGTTTGTATAATGAAAAATTCTGGGCTGGGGACATAGTCAGTTGGTAGAGCACTTCCCTAGTTGGCAGAGCTTTTGATTCTTAGCACCACATAAACTCGGTATTGTGGGGCAAGTCTGCAATCCCAGGACTTGGGAGATGGACCTGGGAGGCAGGAGGATCAGGAGTTCAAGGTCATCCTTTACTACAGAGTGAATTCAGTCACCCTTGATTATGTAGTGCGTTTGAGGCCAGCTTGGGCCTCTTAAGACCCTTTCTGAGAAAAGGAGACAAAAGCAACATGTTAGAACAATGGAGAATGGACAGGACAGAATTAGTAGCTGTCTTACTCTTCATCTAAGCACTGAGCCAACTGCAGTTCTAAGACAAGGAAGGTAAGGCTGATGAGCACAGAAAAGCAACCACATCAAAAAGCAGGAAGCAGAGGTGTGCTCCAGAACCCTGTGTTTCTTCACCTGTGAAACTGGAGTCGGCTTGTCTAATAGACCCCAGAAATCACTTTAAACTTCACCATTTTGCCACTAGTTTGTGCCAGTCACACCAGGAACAGCCAGGGAATCAAATTCACCACTGAAACCCCCAAGACTTCACCTTGGCTTTCTGACTTGGCAGTTTATCCACTCTACTATACCCTATATATAAATTCTAGTTATTTTATTTGGCCTATTATGCTGTGAGAAAAAAATGTTATTATATACTATAAAAGTCTTAATAAATATAGGGTAGGAGGGTTATGCCTTAACAAGGGTAAAGACACCCCCCCCCCAAAACAATCACCTTTGGGAGAAGCAGATAATAAAAGGCTAGAAAGAAGCAGCAGATGAGCCGAGCAGGTAAGCTGTACACAAATGAAAGACAAGGTACTCCAGGACAAGAGCACAGCCCTAGCAAAGAAACACAGAAAGGCGAGCAAGGGTTTCCTATCTAGAGGAAGTCTGATACTGATCCTAAGGGAGGCACATCTAGAAAGGAAAGGAGCGTGCAAAAAGTAAAAAGAGAGAAGCACGGCTCTGAGTACTAGGCTAAAGTTGGAACAAATCCAAAACAACAGGAAGGCCCCAGACTCTCAGAACAAAGAAAGGTAAGAGCAGAGCTACACTTTAATAAAGACAAATGTCACACTGCTTTCTAAAATGGGTTAGAAGGGCATAAAATTGGAATGGAGGTCCAGTTAAACAAGGATTTTAATGCAATGGCTCTAGTAAGTGGTGAGGAGGTTGAAAATGAAAAGGCACACCTGAATAAAGAATCTGAATATAGCAGCTATGCGCACATTAGGGATGAATTTGGTGTATGCAATATACTCATACTCAATAGTCTCAGAGATTTGTATTAGCCAGATCTAAGCCTGGAAAATAGTTTACTGTTCAAGTCACACAAGAATACTTTGAAATAGTAGTGTCTTAAAATGGCCAATTTCAGATATTGTAAAGACCATAGTCTCTTTTCCCATATGTCTTTACAGATAATATCACCAGGATAGAGTTAGAATATTTAAAAATGAAATGAGAGTATTTCAAAAATGAAAGGAGAAGATGCATTATCTCAGTTGCTAGTCTTCCAAACTAACACAGTACAACTTGGGTATCAGAATGTTGTAGAGTTAACATGTGTTTCACACTTAGTATCTAATTTAGGTGTGCTTGATATGTGGCCCGCAGGCTGAATTCATCCAAGGATAGCTGTGCACAATACCTAGTACATTTGCAGATGACATGTCAAAAGAGTAGACACTCCTATGGCATGTAAAATCTCCCCATAATGCTTTCAGAAGATAGTGTTAACCACATCATGGAAGAAAACCACATGAGAATGATTGACCCAAGAAGACATTAATATTAACATCAGAATGTGCAAAATTTTAGTTAGCTTATTTTTTTTAACTAAAGGTATAAGTAAATGGGTATAACAAGGAAAAAAATGCCAGTTTCCTTTTCATAACAGCCTCAGGGATCTCTCACCTCTGTTACCATGAATCTGGCTGTCATTTGCTCATTAAATCAGCATGCACTTCCTGGTTTAATGAGTGCAGTTGTATGCATCTGTGTATGGATAGAGCCAGTCTTCAATAATACACAACTGCAACTTGGTACAAACATTGTCTGCACCCTACCCAACTTAAAGATGACCGACCTGGTTGGACTTAAACACTGACCGTATGCTGTGAAAGCCTAAATTGATCACTTTGTAACTTTAACCCATCACACTTGTCTCATTTCAAGCTCAAGCATCTGTAGTTGCCAATCTGGAGCCACTTGAGTTGCTTTTACTGATCCATATGTCAATGTAGAGAAAAGAAATGATCAGACTACTAACATGCTTTTTGATCAGTGTTCTACATTTTGAGTGCCTATTTGATTATAGTGGGTTCCCATGTAATAGTAATCTATTCCTGCAACAATCTGATTTTTATAAGGATAAGAGATTTTATCTAGATGTGATAAAAACTGGAGTGAGGATAGAGAAAAAAGGAGGTGAAAATATTTAAATATTAAATTTTGCAGTGAGCCTAGAGAAAATCTTGGAAATAATTATTCAACTTACTTTGCAGAATACATTTGTGAGGTATAATCATTGGATGAGCGAGGGATGTAATCGGTGCATGTCATAACTGAAAGAAAGATATTATCAGGTAAAAAAAGTTAGAACATTTTAAAAAAATCAAATGGAAAACATATCTTATTGTATAGTCCTTCAAAGTATGTAATGTATACACAGACTGGATGCCAAAAAGTTCTAAAGACTACGTAGCAGAGAACACCTCGTTTCTGTTTACGGACCTGTCTGTAGATTTTAAGAGGCAGTAAAAGAAGACAGACAGGATAGAGGGGAATAAATGGATAAAGAAAAGATCTGAAGATAACCAACTGATCACCACTTTCTCGTAAGTAAACTATATATGAAGCCAAATTCCCTAGACTCTCAGTCATGCTCACTGACAAACTTAGAAAGCCAAAGCCATATCTAAGAAATCTAATGATGCTTCTTCTTTGTCTTTAGACTCTGGATGCTTACCCTATTCTTAGTGAAAAGGCCTAGGAATAACTTGTGAGACAGATTTGGGAAAAGTGCCCAGTCTCACTTGGAAACCATTGCTATCGCTATGCAGAATCAACAGCAGCACACACAGGAGTAGGTTTCTGTATTAAGATAAGCAGAGGCTCTGAGACCCATGTAGTGAAGGACTTCTCCACCTGGTGTCCTCTTACCCTCCATAACTTTACCTGGAAAAGGCTGCTATGAAATCTTAGTCCTAGTGGTCACAACTGGGACGAGAGCTTGAGCCACATTACTAGGCACCGCTTCTGCTCATACACATAGAGCTACACCATAAATTCTTTGAGCAGACTCCTTAACTGTTTAAACTTCCTTCAATATCACAAAAGGAGCTGTTCTGTTGCAAAGATGAACCACTGGCTTTTATCTAGTTAGGTTCCCTGAAAGAGTGACTCACACAGAAAGGAAAAGTCAAGAGAGGAGGGGCCAATTCACACCCAAGAGTAAGACAAACTAATAAGTGTGAATTTATTATAAAGGATCTTATCTAATGCCATTATTTGAGGTCTTTAAAAGATTATTAAATATGTGAAGATCACTTTCATGTATATTCAGATAGACAGAAATGAAGGTGATATCAATTAGGTGTGAACGTCTTGTCCATTATAGAACATAAGGTAGAGAGTCATTCATATTCTGCAAGATGATTTCCTCTCTGCTGACAGATACTCAAGTCCTATCTATCCCTTCTCCAATGACAGACTCATTTGGCATTGATTGCAAAGCCAGGACATAATCTGTTATTATACAATAGGGGATTTAAAAAGTAGTCTAATTGTCTTAGACTACAGTAACAGCAGTGAGGATGAGGGAGAGTGAAGGTATAACTAACACATCATTCTAATCAGCTCCAATGTAGGGAATAAGGAAGCCAGGAAAGCAAAGGGTGACTTCCAGGTATGTTTGAGAGAAGAAAAAAATCTGATTAGTCAAAAGAGACAAAAGCGGGCTGGAGTGATGGCTCAGTGGCTAAGAACACTGGCTGGTCTTCCAGAGATCCTGAGTTCAATTCCCAGCAACCACATGATGGCTCACAACCATCTGTAAAGAGATCTTGTGTTCTCTTCTGGTCTATAGGGATACATGCATACAAAACACTGTATATATAAATAAATAAAAATTTTTTAAAAAAAGTTTTGAAATGCTAATTTAAAAAAAGACAAAAGCTTCTAAATACTACTTAAGAGTCTGTTTTTAAACACTAACTAGAGATTTCAAATAGGGGTTGAATACACAAATAAAAGAAATTAGAAATAAAAACCTTGGCTGGGCCTAATAGCCCATGCTTTTTAATCCCAGAATTCAGGAGGCAGAGGCAATCGGATCTCTGTGAGTTCAAGGCCAGCCTGGTCTATTTAATAAGTTCCAAGCCAGCCAGGACTACACAGAGAAACCCTGTTTCTAATTAATGTGGAATTTGCTAACAATGTCTGACACTTAAAGTAAATTAATATAATGGATGGGAGGATCCCCGAAGAGGATAGAAGCTTAGAACCCAAACCTGAGGCCTCCTAACATCAAAATAAAGCTAGAAGAAGGGTCATCAGGGAAAAAAATTAAGAGGAAATGGGCTGATAGACTATGAGGAGAGAGAAATGTATACTAGAATTGGTAATATGATAGCAACTGAGGACCTTGCCAAACAGCTTTGTGGGAAGAGAGACAGCAGAAGCTAAGTCAATCAGCTGAAGGGTGAACAGGCAGAGGGAAGCAAGCGAAGGCAATTCCTTTCAGAACTTCTGGCATATCATGAAACGCAGAGAGCATCTATAAATCACAAAAGCTGCAGAGCAAAGAGCTTTTGTTGCCTTCTAAAGATGGCAGATACCAGAGCATACCTCTTTATGACAAGAAGAACTAAGAGAAAGAATGTGCTGATGCAGGAGTGGAGGTGGGGTAACTATCACACCAGGTCTTGAGGAAGGCCAGAAAGGGTATAGAATGCAAATAAAAGGATTTAAATTTGACAAGAGCAAGAATACTCTTCTGTTCTAACAAGGAGGAAGCAAGACAGGATGTGTACAAACACAGGGAGGCCTGCAGATAGGGTAGTGAGTAAGGGAACTTCCTGTGTGGGGTTTTTATTTAAGAAGACAACAGTTAAGCAGGAGAAAAAGTGAGAATGAAATGAACCTTGATGTTCTAAGAGAAGAGGTGCTGTAAATTAAAAGGCAAAGCTCAGCAGAGAAATGAAGGCTTTCCAAAAGACTGAGTACTTACCTAAGGCCCTGTGGTTAGGAGTGGAGTACCTATTCAGTTAAGTATGTAATTCCAGCAAACAATGCTTAGTTATTTGTATATATTTATAGAGAGAGGGAGAGTTGAATTAAATTAAGGTTGGGGTTTAGGATAAACATTTGATTGACAGGTAGGATTACTTGGTTTATTTTGTTTTTGTGAAAATTCTCTTTTAGGATCATTCAGCCCACAAGCTTTTTAAATTATAATAAAATGCTACTACTTTTAGAAATTCAACTTCCAAACAAAAATAAAGTCACTGAGTATAACTCCTTGGATAAGCAGATTTCTTGAGACTTGTCCTCAGTTGGTACGTCAATGATGCTTATCATAGTACATGTATGAACACGGGGAGAAGAGCCTTCTAGATATTCTGGACAACCCAGACACTCAGTGAAACTCTATTATACAATAATAACATCTCTTGATTATAGGAATACCACATCTACCATGCATAAAACATGGTACTTACTTTCCTCTGACATGCTAAGATTTGATGCAAGGCTGGAAGTCTCAGGCTTCTGATCACTGGCATCCGGGTTGTTTACTTGACTAGGAAGACCAAAACAAACATATTAACCCATGACTGAGTTGCTGCAATTCTGAAAAGGATAAGCTCAAATTCATGTCCTTCTAGGCAATTCCAGTAAGAAGAAAATCTACATGATCTCCTTATTCTTGATTTTTAGCAACTAAGCTGAAAGAAGGAAGGCCAGGGCCAGTACCTTCAGACCGTTCTTTTTCATATCTCTAGACCCCTTGAAATTTTATATCACTTGGAAGCCCCAGCTAAGTCACAAACAAGTCAAATATTTTTCTTTAAGATCATACATTAAAACGACCCTGGGCATCTAACACAGTGCTGTCACTTTAAACATATTATATACATTGTATATGGATGGATCATAATGTAATGTTTTGGTGTGTTTAAACTATGAAATGCAAACCAAGATAGCTAACAAACACCACCTCACATGCTTATTCTTTGTGGTAAAGACATGAAATCTATTCTTTTGGCAATTTTGGTTTTTTGTTTATTTTTGAAACTGGGTTTCTCTGTATTGCTTTGGAACCTGTCCTGGAACTCACTCTGTAGGCGAGGCTGGCTTCAAACTCACAGAGATCGGCCTGCCTCTGTCACCCGAGTGCTGGGATTAAAGGTGTGCGCCACCAACACCCAGCTCCTATGGCAATTTTAAAAAGACATAGTACTTAGCCTGGCGGTGGTGGCGCACGCCTTTAATCTCAGCACTCAGGAGGCAGAGGCAGGAGGATCTCTGTGAGTTTGAGGCCGGGCTGGACCGACAGCCTCCAAAACAATACAGAGAAACCCTGTCTTGTAAAACAAAACAAAACAAACAAACAAAAAGACACAGTGCTTTATTCCCACACCATTTTGTGTATCTGTTACTTTGGTTAAAAATATAACAAAGTAGGGAGATGTCTAATTAGAGAGAGTGGATCATCATCAACTACAAACCTTAATTTGAAGAGGGTTTTAAAGATTAGATGTTTGTTCCCTATCTGTCTGTCTACTGAGTTTCCTATCTGTAGCATCAGTGACTAATGTGTTAAGCAAGCACCTTTTTTTTTTTTTTTAAATAATTAACCCTAAGAAAGCTAAGAGAGGGGCTGGAGAGATGGTTCAGAGGTTAAGAGCACTGACTGCTCTTCCAGAGGTCCTGAGTTCAATTCCCAGCAACCACATGGTGGCTCACAGCCATCTAATATTCAATCTGGTGCCCTCTTCTGGCATGTAGGCAGAACAGTGTATATGTAATAAATAAAGAAATAAATCTTAAAAAAAAACTAAAAAAAAAAGAAAGCTAAGAGAAATTCTAATAGGTAAGTCATATAAATGAGGAAGATTAAGTCATTACATTAGAAACCACAATGTTGCGAGCATACCACTAAAATTCTGGGATGGAGACGACTCCAAGTTGAGTCCTTTATGCTTTCCTCCTTTTCTTTGCCTTTAAGTCTCATTATTACATCACTTCCTACCACAGTAGCACAGTGGTTAGAGTACAGCTTCTAACTGCATGTGATGACTCACTCCTAATTCTAGTACTTGGGATGCTGAGGTGGGTGGAATTATCATGTTTGAGGCCAGTATGGGTTACAAATCAGTTTAAGTCAAGTCTGCACAACACAGTGAGACCCAATCTCAAAAACTGAGCTACCTTTATTATCAAGTGTGAGCTCTAGAGCTGGAGTGCTAAGTTCATAATCTACTTCCTCAATAACTAGCCGTAGAACTTGGACAAGTCACTGAAACCTCTAGGCTTCAGTTTATTTGTCAGGAAGATACAAACAAAACCCACTTCACTGGGTGATAGGGATAATGGCAATACAAAACAAGTAGCTAAGTCCAGACATAACAAGCACACAGTAACCACAGCTGTTCTACTTCTTGGTTCCAGCCCATGTACCCTTCCCACATTTATGCCCCTGACAGAAGCCTGCTCTACTCTTTCTTGCCTTGGGAGAAGTAAAAGTTACTGTACCAGAGGCTCTACATCTGAGTATAAAAATGCCTAATAGGCAGTGAAAATAGTTTCTACATAGCAACATTTAAAGCTCTCTTACGATGTGTGACACTAACCTCTGATATCAACATATTAATTAATAAAGAATTTTCTTCTGGGGGGCTGGAGAGATGGCTCAGAGGATAAGAGCACTGCCTGTTCTTCCAGAGGTCCTGAGTTCAATTCCCAGCAACCACATGGTGGCTCACAACCATCTGTAATGAGATTTGGTGCCCTCTTCTGGCCTGCAGGTATGCAGACATATGCTGTATACATAATAAAAAAATAAATGTTAAAAAAAAATTAAAAAAAAAAAAGAGACAACTGCCGCCGGGCAGTGGTGGCGCATGCCTTTAATCCCAGCACTCGGGAGGCAGAGGCAGGCGGATCTCTGTGAGTTCGAGGCCATCCTGGTCTACAAAGTGAGTTCCAGGAGAGCCTCCAAAACAATACAGAGAAACCCTGTCTCAAAAAAAAAAAAAAAAAAAAAAAAGAATTTTCTTCTGGAATAGTTTGAATGTTAAAGTAAATTTCCTCAGCTACATTCATTCATTCATAGACAGAACCTCATCATGTATCCCTGGCTGGACTAAAATTTGATATAACCACCAAGCTGGACTCAAAATCAACCATCAACCTGACTCTGCCTCCTAAGTGTTGGGATTAGAGGCATGCAACACCATGCCGAATACATTTCATTGAAAAACAAACAAAAACCCACCAACCTTTTTTTCAATGTATATGAGAGTTTTACCAGCATGCATGTATGTGGACTGTGTTTGTGCCTGATACCTATGGAGTCAGAAGAGGGCATCAGATCCCCTGGAACTGGAGTTATAAATAGTTGTAAGTCAAGAATAGATGCTGGAGAAAATCCTGTTCCTCTATAAGAGCAGCAAGTTCTCTTAATGGCTTAGCCATCTCCCCAGCCCTGAAATTTTTAAACTTAAATTCTCAAACAAGTTCAATTTTATCTCTGCTCAAATGATTACACTTTTGGAATAGCAATTCATTACCCAAGTTATAACTACGGAAATTAAAGGGGAAAGGAAAGAAATGGCACGGACTAGTTAAACTGGTACAAACCAACATGCTAAATAGTGCCCTAAATTCTGAGTCCCATCTCATACCCACTTAAATAGAATTCAAACAAGGAAGAACCTGAAACTGGGCCAGAATTTCACATTTCCAACTACAATGCTAGTTTCAGTTTCTTTTCTGGGTACTTGGATAACTCAAGTTTCAAAGTTAAAGTCACTGCTAGAGACTATTTTTAGGTCCTGAATCTTAGAACTGGGCACACCAGTTCTAAAAGGCCTTGGATTCTAGTATGATTCTATAATTTTATTATAGCAAAATCCCATACACATTCAACTGAAAATGCACAGATTAGAAACACACTACCAAGATAGTGAATTAATTCTAGCACTCTGTTAATTATTTAAAATTGTCCCTAGAGAAATTATATACTATCTGAAGGTATTACTTTCAGAACATATAAATGTAAAATTTTGTTTAACAAAAAAGTTGCTTAAACAATAAAAATGATTGCCAGGTGGTGGTGGAACACACTTTTATTTAATCCCAGCACTCGGGAGGATAGGCAGACAGATCTCTGTGAGTCTGAGGCCAGTCTGATCTACGGAGTGAGTCCCAGGACAGCCAAGGCTACACTGAAAAACCCTGTCTCGGAAATGAATTAATAAATATCAAAATTCATAGACTAAACAGCCCAAATATCTTCTCATTCAACAGAACTCTTGTCAATTATCAATGGCTGACAGGGAAAAAGGAAAAAAATAGGAGTATGATTCATATTTAAAAGGAAGGAAATTCTGATAGACTATTACTAAGGTACAAAGAGGCTATATAAGTTCATGTATCATTTCTATTATATACATTATCTTATAGTCCTTTACATGAAGTTTTTAGAGTAGTCAATCCCACAGACTAATTTCACAAAACTAGAAAATAGAATGGAAGGCTAGAGACAAGGAGACAGGGGTAAAGGGAAGCTTTCTTTAACAGGAATGAAACCTCAACATGGGAAGACAATAAAAGTTAAAGAGATGGATGGTGCCAGTGGTCACACAAGTCCATGTACACACTAATGCTCAATTACACTTCTAAGAAAGTTTTAAAGACTGTGGGATGCAGCTCAGTGATAGAGTCCTTCCTAGCATACACAAGGCCCTGGATTCAATCCCTAGTGTGGTAGATAGAGGGGAAGGTTTGAGGCTGGGCATGGTGGTTTAAGTCTTTAAATCTCAATACTCAGGAAGATGAGGGTCACAAGTTAAAGGCCAGGATGGGCCTTTAACTTTACCAAAGGAAGGGGGGAGGGAGTAAGTGGTAAATTTTATGTTAAGGATACTTAGCCATAGATTTAAAACTTACCAAAGGAAAAGGGAGAACTGTAGGAAAAGACAGAATTGGCAGGTTCTGTAACACACAAGAGAACTGACTTCCCAGGAAAAGGAAGCAGAAAGTATCCACAATAGATTTGCTGAGAAGCAAGATGTTTCTTTTTTAATGTCTAATCTGTCTTTGAATTAGGTGGCAAGTTCCCTAGCTGAGTGAATAAAAATAGTGGGAAGTAAAGTAGAAAGGGAGAAGACAGGAGGTAAAGATGAAAGGAAGAAAGATATAAGATGATTTTAGACACCAGGAAATGAGATACATGGAGACGGGTATCTATATGCCTATTTGAATGGAAACTATGTATAGTTTTGTGCTGTTTATTTCAGTGCTATGGTGATAGAGAATCGATAAATAACCTGAGTTTAAACAAAGCTGTGGTTTTATTGGCAAGCAGATTGGGAATATGCATAGTATAGGTGGACAGTTAGGTTCAAGCAAGGATGTACTTTTGTTGGTAAGTAAAGCACAGAAAGAGTAGAGAAAACTAGCATTTTCAAGGGACACACTATAGTATAGGGTTTTTGTTTTGTTTTGTTTTTTTGGCTTTTTTCTAGACAGTGTTTCTCAGTGTAGACCTGGAACTCATGAGACCATGCTGCCTCAAACTCAGAGATCCACCTGTCTCTGTCTTCCAAGTGCTGAGATTAAAGGTGTGGGTCACCACCACCCCACAGTAGTAGATCTTATAACTTAACTAGTATAAAAAAGAAACTGAAGTCCATTTTGAGAGACTGGCCAGTGAGTAATTAAGAAAATATGCTAGAAATTAAAAGTGGAAGCATGAGATACATGGCCAGAGTGGCAGTTGCTGGGTAAATGACCTGTAGTGATCTATGTGGTGGTAAAAATAGCATTCTTGAAATCCGTATGTTGGAAATGATGCAGTTACTGGTTCAAATGATTAGTGGACAACCGACAGGAGGTAAAATTCTGGAAAAAAATGACACTGGAGACAGAACATGGGGTGCTAGAAAGACATCTCCTTTCTAGAGGAGTGGAACCAACATCTAGGGTATCACATATTCAACTGATAATTAATGCCAAATTCTTTGCATTTTCCTTATTTTGGTCTCTCCTTCCTTAGGCTGTACATTTGACCGAAGAATATACCATTTTTCATTCATGAGTTTCTCCACAAATGCCTGATATATATAAAATGAACTCAGCATATACCATTTAATAAGTAATGAAAACATAACAACAACAACAAAAGCCCTGCGTATATATTAAAGGAAAAGCTATTTTGGAAGTAGTTTTTTTCCTTGCTTTTTTGAGACAGGGTCTTGCCATGTTGCCCAAACTAGTCTCTAGTGTGGGTGTTTAATCAATCCTATTTTGAAGAGAAATTTTAATCTGACCCCAAATAATTTCTAAATGTAAACGTGGCAATGAAAACCAAAAACGCAATAGTCAACATAAAGCATGCCCCTATACTAATTAATCAGCACATTGGTAAAAATGAAAAGGCATCATTTAAAAGAAACCCAGTTTTATAAATACCTTAAAGTTTGTTCTCCTGGTTCCTGCATCTTGGCTTTCTTCACCTGCAAACATCAGTACATGTAGAAATCAGTGGGGTGATCTCAGTCTGAAACCCTAGCATTCAAACACAGTTGTTTCGCTATATCAAGAGGCTGGCTCCAGGAACCCTCAATAATACCAAAATCTGTAGATGTTCAAGTCCTTTATCTTACCACACATAGTTCTCATGTACTTTAAACCATCTCTAAACCACTTACATCATCTGATACAATATAAATAGTATGTAGATAGTTTTTGCACTGTATTATTTAGGAAATGAGAATGTTTATACAACACATGAACAAAAAATATTTTTTGTTCATTATATTTACCCTTAGTTGGTTTCATTCACAGATAATGGCAACTGGTAGAGAAAGCTGACTATATATTAACCAATGTGTGTTTCATTTTGTTTCAATTAGACCTAGAATAGATGTTATTACCCAAAAATGTGAAACTTTTACATGATAGTAGTTACTTATAATAAGCCAACTAAGAGGTTGAAGAACCCCAGAATGACATGCAGACTCTGACCAAGAATCTAACCCTATAATAAAAATGGGGGAAAGTGATATAGCCCAAGTAAAGAGGAAAACAAGGTTTTAAATAGAAACTGTGAATAGAAAACAAGAAAAATTCAACTATAGTTTAATGCCTGCTGCAATTATATAACTGACAAAATTTTCAGTTCTTACTAACCCACCTTTAGATAGTATTCTATGATTCGGGGGCTAGAGAGATGGCTCAGTGATTAAGAGTACTTGTTGCTCTTGCAGAAGACCCAACTTCAATCCCCAGCATGCACATGCGATTATGCCAGTTCTAAGGGACCTGAGCCCCTCTTCTGATCTCCTCAGGCACCAGGCATATATGTGGTGCACATACAAACATACAAACAAAACACACACAAAAATAATATTCTATGATTTTTAATTCAATTGAGAATTCCAGTGTGGTGGTGCATACTGGTAGTCTTAGCACTGTGGGGGGAGAGAGGCAGGTAAATCTCTGTGAGTTCAAAGCCAGCTTGGTCTACAAAAGTAAGTTTCAGGTCAGTAAGGGCTATAAAGAGCCTGACTAAAAGTAATAATAGTAATAACAATAGAAAACTATTAGTTTAAGCTGAAACCTGATAAATTGAATTTGGTAGGTAAAGAGGAACTTGTATGGGGGTGGGGCTGGTTTGTACAGAAAGAGTCATTAAAAGGGTTCACCGATAATAACATGAAATTTGATGTACTGAAAACTCACTACACCTAGGAGAGCCCGTCTGAGGGAAGAGAAAATGACACAGTACAGCATCAGATCTGGTAGCAAATGAAAGAGACTGATTTATAGCACTTTTTGTCCCTTATACACATGGCGGCATAAAGCCAGCATTCTTTAGTCATAGTGTACAGTAGCAAAGTTGGGAAATAAAATGGTAGACCCTCTTTTATTTTTTTTTAGAAAAGCAGGCATATCTAGAAAATAATAGTACCAGGCCACACTCAGCTAACAGTGAGGGGAAGTCATCAAATACACAACCTTACAAAATGCAGCAGTCCTATCTCCAGATGGAGGACCCTTTCCCTCTGACAATGTAAGCCTCTAATTAAAAAAGGAGAAAACAAAGAGTAACTAAACAGTAGGAAATACGCAAGCCTAGCTTGGCGATAAAGCACTTGCTTAGCGGAGCAGGGCTCTCAGTTAAATCCTTAGTGCTGTAGACAAGAAAAACAAAAACAAAACAAGTAACAGACAACAACCACCACTCCTACAAAAAAAGGAAAGAAGGGAGGGGGGTTCACTGCAATTTACAGAGTGGGCATTGCTGATGAAATAATGTTATTCTCTGGTACTCTGAAGAATTTTTCTGTTTTCTAGTATCATATAGTCACTTGAGCCATTCTTACCCTAAAACTTGGAACTGCCAATATTACTACCCAACTGTCATATTCTTTCCTAAGGCCTGTTCAGTTTCAGGATGCTGTTAATAGGTCAACATTAAAGCAACACAGGTATGTAGTTTCTGGCACCTATTCCTTCATTCCTCCCTGCCATCACTGCTGAATAAAACAGTAACAACGTGTAAGCAGTGTGCTTCTTTGTAGCTGTTTCAAACTTGGCTCTCACCCGATGATTTTTGGTTTTTTCAGAGATAATAAAACACTGGCCCGACAATTGTGTTTCTAAGTCTCAGGTCAACGGGACAGATGATTATGTTAGCACATGACCATACTCCCAGCACTCAGAGGCAAAAGGCTGTAGTTCAAGGCAAGCCTGGATCACAAACAGATTTAGTCTCAAAGAAACAAAGTAGGTTTACAAGGTAAAACTTGAGTCTGGAAGATCAGAATTCATTTAAAATTCCATAAGCTGGGCATGGTGGTACATTCCTGAGATCTCAGCACCCAGGAGGCTTAAGACAGAAGGCTCATGAGTTTCAGGCAAGTTTGGGTTGTATAGTGAAGTCAAGGCCAGTCTGGGCTTCTTAGAAAGACACTGCTTCCAAAACAAAAAGAAGAACCAATTCAAGGATGCTGTCCTTCATAGCCTATAGACTACTCCCCTGCATGGAAAAGAGTGAAATTCAGAGTGCAGGTTAGCAGTCTGTGGCACAGCCACATTTTCTATCATAGGAATCTCTACTACAACCTGCGAATAGCCCTTCTCTTGAAAGTGAAAAACACTTACTCTTCCTAAGTATTTCTTACTCTCTGTTTTCTTAGGGTCTGTGCTTGTCTACTTGGCATCTACTAATTATAGGAGCAACCTGGAGGACAAAGCTGTTTGTATCTCCCCTAGAGTCCAAAGACTATAGTCAGAAACATTGCCTCTACCTAATTCAAATACTCTTTTTTAGTTTCTGTTTTGAGAAAGGGTCCTGTGTAGTCGTCCATGCTGACTTAGAACATACTACACAGCAGAGGATGAACTTGAATTCCTAATGCTCCTGCCCCTGTTTCCCAAATGTTTTCATTGGTGTTTCTATTGCTGTAATAAACACCATGACCAAAAACGACTTGAGGAGCAAAGGTTTATTTCACCTTACACCTCCAGGTAACAGTCCGTCACTGTAGGAAGATAGCTGGAACTGAAACAGAAGCCATGAGCAGTGTTGCTCCAGGCAATACAGATGACCCTAGCTTCTGTCAAGTTAACAAAAAACTAACCAGTCCACCAAGTGCAGGGATTCCTGGTCTGTGCCACTTCGACTGGTGACTCTACCGCTTACATCCCCATTTTCCCTGTCCTAAAATCAACCAAAACAACCTGCTAGCATTATTTTAGTGAGTCATGCCATTGCTGTCTGCCTTGCTTTTATGTAGAGTCTAGTGAAGTCTGTGGTCGCGTCTTCCCTTGGATGCTTTCTGCCTCTTTACTGACACTGGGGCTTCAGCCTGTTTATGTCAGGTAAACTGGTGCCTTTTCCAGTGGCACTGACATGTCCGTGGGGTCTGTCACCTTGACAGACTTATGCTGGGAGCACAAGCCAGTAAGAAAGTGAATTTCCATATGGGCAGTGGTGGTACATGCCTTTATAATCCCAGCATCTGGGAGGCAGAGACAAGAGGATCTTTGTGAGCTCAAGGCCAAGCTTGGTCTACAGAGTGAGTTCCAGACAGCCAAGGCTACACAGAGAAACCCTGTCTCAAAAAATCAAGGCAAGAAGAAAAAAGAAAAGGAAAGTGACTTTCTATAACAATAACCACACGACAGAAATTCTTGCTTTAAAGTACTTCAGTTTCTTCCATTCCTCTAACATTTGGGCTTTGCATATGTTACAGAAACTGACGGGAGTGAGAAGGGAGGGAAGCAGAGCAGAAGCAATGAGCAGTTAATGGGTTAGTCTCACAATTCTTGTTACTTTAACTAGGTAGGGAGTAAGGAAAGATTCCCATTTCAACATTTATATAAGACTTTTTGACTTTATGAGTAGACTTTTGTCTTACTAAATTAAACACTCAAATAATGTCATTTTCCTTGGTACATTTAGTGTTTATAGTTCAGCTGTTTGTTTCAACAATACACTTCCTATATATACTGTTCAAGATCTATTTTAATCCTATTATACTCCTGATTATTAATAACTCCTCAAGGACAGGAATCACATTTAAAAGTTTCAAATGGTACTTTTATTAGTTACTTATGTCTTCCTAACTTTTACAGTTTCCTTCATTGGGAGAGCTAAATGAATGGCAGAGTAATCATGAGTATGTGTCTCTCAGTACATAAAGAAAAGAGCAATACTCACTCGGTAATGCTGAGTGTGTTGAACAGATTCCCCAGCAGTAAGTGAACCAGGTTTGAGTTTAAAAATAAGCAACATGCCAGGTAAGGCGGTGCACATCTGTGATTCTGATCTGGGAGGTTGAGGCCACTGGAGACTGCATATAGCAAAACTCGATCTCACAATCAAAAGAGCACACAACATTTCTTTCTTAGAGGGAAATTACTAAGGATCCTGTTCCTTACTCCCATTTCTAATTTGGATTCCGTAAGTATAACTGACTAATACTCAAAAACTCTTCAGATTAGCTTTTCTGCAGTCAACTTGAAGGGAACACTCACCGGTTGCTCTGGTAGGTCTTGCTCTTCTTCCATCAGGGCTACTCTCTCTGTACTCACTTATGTGACTGGGTTTCAGGTCTCTGCAGTCTTCACAAACTGTAAAAAGAGAGGAATTCAAGCTTTATATACTCATAAAGTATTATCATCGAGGCCATCAGAGAATAACTTTTTAATATTTTGCTACTCAAGCTTTCTACGTTAGTTCCAATCTCAAAATCTCAAACTTGCACGTGGCTTTTCAAAACTGACATGCAGTTCCAAGTCACGAGAGCAATACGCAATGACTTCTGTAAAGCTCTGCAAAAGCCGACACGTGGAGCCACTTCTACTGGTTACTATAGTGCCTAATGCATTAAACACTTTACAATGACAGCCATGTGCAGATAATGAAACAATTTTTTTAAGGATTAGGGTTACATTTAAAATGATAGAGACTGGCCTAGCAGGTCAGTAAGTTATGATAACATCTAACCTGCTTTAATGTGGAACATTTACATAACTGTTAACACAGACACACTGAATCGATTTAAATAGGACAAACTGGAAAATCAATTAAATACATCACAATCAACTATCTGTCTATATGTAATCAATTTAAATGAAAATGTAATTCTTCTGGATCTCGATAAGGCAAATAAACACGTAAAATGAAACCTTAAATATGAGAATTAAGGAAAAATAATTATGTAAAGCTAAGATCCAATTTAATCTGAAATAATGAATTTCCACTAAATACCAGGTAATTATTTAAATAAATCTTTACTTTTCAAACCCTGTTCCTCTGGTCCTAATTTATAATGTTTAAATCTTTCTTTGACCTGCTAACAGGAGATACATTATAAAAACTAAATACTCCATTCCTGCTTAACTGAGGCTAGCTCTTTTCCGATAGATGCTCCTAAAGTCTCACCAGTGTGACTTCTCCTACCAGCCATTGAACCCACCTTAACACACAGTTTAAAGTTCAGACTCCTGCTGCAGAGTTAATGAAATGAACAACAGAAACAGGGAAACCAAAGCCTTCGTTTCTGCCGGTGTGTGCCCACTCAACTTGTGTGGCTCTCTTTTGGTACAATATAATATGCCTTTTAGAGCCACACATAAGAACAGAAAAAAGATAGAAAACAAGTTCAAGGAATACGAGCAGATGAAAAACCTGAACAATTAGGTGATAATAACTTTACTCCTTCCTCTGCTCTTAAATATCAAAAGGAAAACAAAGTTTAAAGGTCAGAAGTACATGTGCTCAATGCACATGCAGCTCTTACAGAACCTCAAAACTATGTTCCGACTATATGGCGCAGACAACTTGCACTGCAGAATTACAGGACACAAAAACAAAAGCTCATGGCTACAATCCTCCTCAGGCTCATTTTGCTCAACACAGAAGAGCATAATCTATGTGGCCATGAAACTGATTTGTAATTGAAAAAAAAATAAATGCTTTCTTGTCTTTCCAATTTATGATTATGCACTATACAAACATACATTTGTAAATATGATTTCAACCCATAGGAGCAAACAAAATAGGTAGAGAAACAGAATGCCTTCACTCTTCATTTGTTGAAATTCTGAGTTTTTCCTACACAGAAAGCTATTAATACTCTATGTTTTCTCAATAAAGGCCTATGGATGTAAAAACTGCACTGAGTGTGCTCTTAGCAAAGAGGGAAGGAACTCTCTTCCCTGGGGAAGAATTAAAAGTCACACCAGGAGAGGGGAAGGTAAAGACAATAATTAAATTACATGTTCTTTAATTGTTTTTAAACACAAAACTATTTTTAAAAATGTTCATATTTTAAAATAATGTTCACATTCTAAGAAACATGAACATTAAAGGAGAATACAAAATTTTTTCATAGATCAAAAGGGGGCAATGAATTTTAAAAGAAATACTAACTGAATGTGCATAATCAAATGTTAAACTATTCAAAACCATATTAAAATCCTGAGCTAGTCAACATTCAAGTTGAATTCTGTAGTAAGGTACAAGGTGACTTCTTTATGAAAAAAATTAGAAAATAATTCTATTTGTTTCTTCCTTGAAAAAAATTCTTGTTAATATCTTTAAAACTACCAATATCTTTCCTCTCAGCCTTTGAACTGAAGGGATATAGTTTCCATATTTCAGAGAAAAAAACTTTGAAAACTCAGGCTTGATATTTTTAAGTAACTAGTCAATTATCAGCAGTCATTTCCATCATTTTAAAACAAAAGCTAGGTGTGGTGGCACACACCTATAATTATTTCAGCACTCAATTATTACAACTCTGAGGTCTCCTGGCTACATAGGTAAACACAGTCTCAACAAACAAACAAAAGGAAACAAAACAATAATACTACCAAAAAAAAAAATCCAAGAAGCCTACAAGTCCTGGCAACTGTGGTATGTGAGACACTTTCAAATATATATTCTAGCAAATCTGTGAATAAAATGTATTAATAACAATAAATTATATAATTCCATTATAACATGCACCTAAGTACTATTGCTATCAAACAGTATTCTTCCTTTCAAAAATTTGTAGGGACCAACAGCCTCCAAAACAATACAGAGAAACCCTGTCCCGTAAAACCAAAAAAAAAAATTTTGTAGGTTGAAATATTAAGAATATGTTACATAGGAGGATACAAGCATTCTTCACATTTTCAGCATTATCAATGTGTTAAAACTTGTATTATTTCATTTTCATTTATTTTTTTGTAATTCTAAAGAGCAAACCCAGTGCTTCAAACATGCTAAGTATACTTCAGTCTACCTATTTATTTGTTTGTTTGTTTGCTTATTTATTTATTTTGGTTCTTCGAGACAGTGTTTCTCTGGGTATCCCTGGTTGTCCTGGAACTTGTTCTATAGACCAGGCTGGCCTCGAACTCAATAGATCTGCCTGTCTCTGCCTCCCAAGAGCTAGGATTAAAAGCATGCACTACCACCACCCAGCTGATAAAACCTTTTAATATTTATGTCACCACAACTTTTTTCTAATTGACATAGGTTATATAAAGTCCACTCACTAGCAATAAACACAATTCTTGGTTCCAGTTTGGATTAGTTCTAGTTCATAAGTGTTTTCACCATTAGTGAAACCTGACGTTATTCTGTTGTGAATGAATACTTAAAAACACCAAATAAACCGGGCAATGGTGGCACACACCTTTAATCACAGCACTCCAGAGGCAGAGGCAGAGGCAGGCAGATCTATGTGAGTTCAAGACCAGCCTGGTTTACGAGAGCTAGTTCCAGGACAGCCTCCAAAGCCACAGAGAAACCCTGCCTCGAAAAGCCAAAACAAAACAAAAAAACACCAAATAATAGTCGTTATGACAGATGTGGAAGGAAGTTTTTTATGCTGTGAAAATGAACATAAGAATTTAGTCAATAGCTGATGAAGTTACAAACAAGCCAAGTTAATCTTTTAGTATAAGTACCTTTTGAGCACTTGGACAGTAATATCTCTCAACAACTTTCAAGTTTCAGTTCTGGTTTCTTTTTTTTTTTTTTTGGTTTTTCAAGAAAAGGTTTCTCTGTATTGTTTTGGAGGCTGTCCTGGAACTTGCTCTGTAGACCAGACTGGTTTCGAACTCAGAGATCCTCCTGCCTCTACCTCCCGAGTGCTAGGATTAAAGGCGTGCGCCACCACCGCCCGGCTTCAGTTCTGGTTAATAAAAAGACGTACTTTATCATCTTTTCTGAAGATGCTTTCGTGGAAACACACAAGCGACATATGTGCTCAACAAGCTATATTTAGGATATATATGTATATACAAATATATATGCATGTAACAGCAATTAATGAAAAACAAGGCCAAGAATTTGAAGGAGAGTAGAGGGGGGCATATACGAGGTTTAGAGGAGGAAAGGAAATGGTAAATGTTGCAATTAAATTACAATCTCAAAAAGAAAATTAAGTTAAATATAAAATCAAGAAGAAAAATAGTATTTGCTAAGACTTCACATTTCTCTAAGTATCAGTGAAAATGTTAAAAATCAGCTTAATTCAAAGAAGCTGACAGTCTTTTTCTTTTGTGGGTTTGTGTGGTTTTGGGGTGAGGTCCTCACAATGTTGTTCATGCTGGCCTAGAAATCATGCAGTCAAGTGACACCCCCACCTGAGTTAGCTTTAACGTTGGTCTGAGTCACCACTCCCATGCCAACATAATTTGTTTCATTTGTTTACTTTGTGGAGATAAAGGGCATGTGCAGCGCACATGTGGAGCTCAGAGGACAACCTGTAGGAGACTGTTCTCTCCTTCGACCATGTGGGTTCTGGGGATTCAACTCAGATCATCAGGCTGAGTCATCTCACTGACCCCAAACACCCAATTTTTAAAATACTATTGCAGATTTTACATGTTCATAAATAAAGCCAAATCTTTTTATAATATCACAACGTAACTTTTATTTTCATGGTTAAGAAGTTAGAAGGTAAACAATTAGTGGTGAATACTTTACTTCAAAATTCTATTTTCCGTCCTCATAACCTTTCTTTTGTAGCTGGATATACATATTATTTGTCTTGTGATGATAACGGCCATAAGCATAACTTAAGTCTATTTCAATGTGCTATTACAGCTCTTAGGCAGAAAGGGAAAAATTAAATATATACTTATATATGCTGTGCCAATGTGAAAGTATGTATCACTCTTAATTACAACTTTAAGAGAAGTGTATAAATAATGCAAAATATCTGACTATAGGTACAACAAAGGAACTTACATGCAGTTAGATGTGCACAGAAATATTTAAGAATTAACATAGTCCCTTTTCTTAATTGCATTTTTATTCATTTTTTTGTGCATGTGTGTATGCATATAGAGGTTCACATAGGACAATTGTATAGGTCATAGGATAACTTTTGGCAATCTTGTTCTGGCCTTCCACCAAATGGGTCCTGGAAATCAACCTGGGATCCTCAGGCTTGGCAGTAGGTGTCTTTACTGGCTGAGCCATCTTGCCAGTTCCTGAGTATCTTTAATTCAGTGTTGGGGCAGGAGAGATGTGTAGGAGTGAACCCCACAAAGCTATCCGCCCATGAGGGCGGGGACATGTAGATATGTCATGACACAGGTAGATATAAAAGGAAGTGAAAGGAAAA